AAGGCAAAGTATTTTTGTTAAATCTAATTTTGAGAACAATTCGCTCAGCAAACATAGCTATTAGAAATATCTCTGTCCCAACAAATTAGGTATTTCACCCTGTTCTGTCGAAGTTTTACCATTGACATAGTATTCATTCATGTGTTCATTTACTCGTTATGTTTTTTTTACCATATTCTCTAGATTATAAGACACTCGCGAAAGTATGATGTATCCCACCCTTTGTGGGAGTTTTGTTGAGAAAAATTAGTGCGATTTATTATCAGGAGAAAACCGTACTATCGAGAGCCATCTGCCAGAAGATGAATGCAATACATTACCAACCTCTCAGTGGTAATATTCAGCAATGCAATTGAGAACGAGCAATGATTGTGAACAACTTTATTAAAAAGCAATTCTTCCAGAAGGCAAAGTCAATTATAAAACGTACCCCTAACTTTTACTTAAAAAAATACGGGGGGAGGGTGGGGGGAGAAATGAGTGTATTTTATTACACGCTTTTGTTTAACTCACTCTGTCTGTTGTATCCTGAACTCTGTCTGTTGGTGTATTCTCAAATCTTGTAACGCAATTCTAACCAAATTCCCAATGTCGTATCGACTGCAAACTTGGTATACGTATGTCATACTGATGACAATACTATATTCTATCATTAAACATAATATATATTTTTTAAGCAATCTTATGTTTCGGCTTGAGTCTAATTGTCCACGCTCAACTCATGTTGGCTGTAAATCACCACGGCCCCTTACGTTATGGCAAGCTTCGGGGCCACTTCCTGGAATCGTGGAGTTCTGCAATTACTCGTACGGTACATTACATTAAAGCGTGTTTTAAAAAAAAAGTATTTAAAAATATTTTTTTTAAATCTGGAGAATATAGTCCTTATGAATACAAACGCTCTGGGCGCTTGGCTGTTTCTTCTACATTGCATTGCCTCCTACAGTAGTTGGACTAGTACTGCAATGCACGGCTGCGCCAAATTCCACGATGTGTCATAACACGACTGATTTCGGCAATCGGAACACAATTTGAATACTGGAATCACATCCAGCCCTCCGAGGTCTTTCCACCGCTCACGAGCAACGCCTGAATTTCGGCACAGCGGCGGGCCTGCCTTCACAGCTGAGGGCGACATGCTCATCGTTAATCGCCACCCTCGCAACTCGAGCTGAGGCTCCTTGCCTGCCTCCTTCTCCAAAGCAGGACACCATGAATGTAACGTTGAAGGGAAACAATAAAATATATATAACAATAAAATTCTCACGACGTTTCGACTGCAACACAAACAGTCATCATCAGGTGTGAAAACCTAAATATGAATCACTGGAGTCACGAAAGCTTTAAATCAAAATTTATATTTTTTTGCTCTTGTTAAAATACCATCGGATTCCTGGAGCGCAGTTAAAACACCTTTGCTGACAATCGCGCAGACACAAACCTGTCAGGCATCGCGTTGCTCAGCTTTTTTCTTGCATAATTTTTTTAGTTGAGCCCAAGTTGTTTGGTGCCGTCGTTTCGCTAAAAATGTTGCGGGAGGTGTTGTTTGGGTAATTTTGTGGTAATTTTGGGTAATGTTTGGGTGATGTTTGCGTAATTTTGGGTAATGTTTGGGTAATGTTTGGGTAATGTTTGGGTAATGTTCTACAGCAGAATGGTCCCTTGACCACCATCATCATCGTCAACGTCGTTGTTCATGATCCATCCATGACTGGAGTGAAGGCCTCACCTCGCTGTCACCATCCCTCATGGTCCTGCAAAGCTACAATCCATCCAATTCTCACACGTGAGCGAATCTTATCGCTCCTTCTTTGCGATGGTCATCCTCTCCATCTTAGCGGTGGCTGCCATCGGCTATTATCTCCACGACCAGTTTGTCCTGCCCAACCCACTGACTTTTCCTGAATGGTAAAAATGATTTTGATTTAAAGCTTTCGTGACTGCAGGGATTCATATTCTTGGTTCTTTCGGTAAAGTCACGTAGAAGGGAAACAATACAATTATTAAAAATATAAAAAATGCAATTCTCACGACGTTTCGACTGCAACACAAGCAGTCATCATCAGGTGTGAAAACCACAGCAAGAAATTTTGAAAAAAGTAGTAAAAAATATGGTAAAAATGTCAATTATTCGGTTTATTCCCTGCGCTTATCTCTCCATGCTTATTTGCACACTTTTTGATTTTCTTTAATTCTCGTTTACAGTGTCCCTGTTTATGAACCATATGTCTTCGTGGGTTTAATTAAACGATTTTAATATTTCTTATTCAGGCACATTTGTAATATAGCTCTTTATATTCCAATTCAGTGTGCCAAAAGTGCTCCCATTCACCTCTCTAAGTATAATTTAATCATTATGATCTCGATCCTTATTTAGTAAATGCCCTACTTATACGCTGTCTCTTCCAGTTTATTTTCTTTAGTTGTTTTGCCTTCGTGTTTCGTTACATCAGAGGCGAGCTCAAATTCCACAATGAAGCCGTGCGAATCCTACACAGCGGACCATAAAGTAATGCCTTTTAAAGGGTTTTCAAAGCGCGGTTGAATTACTTTTTCTGCGACCCATATATTTAGTGTATGTCGTGGTCTGGAGCTTCCTTGACGTTTACGAGTAGATTCCTTCATACTTAGAGGTCACAAAACTCAACTGCACCTTAAGCCAAAGGTGTTGGCTATCCTCAGCAGCAAATTTCACTGGCTGGCCCATTGCAACCGTACATTATCACTAATTGAATTTTTTTTTTTTACTCCAGAGGACGCGACAACAGATTCGTTTTCAAACGTTTCCAATTGGCTCTTTAACAAACTCGATGGCAGCGGCAGACTGCCGTATCTCCAAGCCTGAAGTGGCGCTTAACTCCAGCCACTCGCATCCACAATTTCATGCCGTTCTGAAATAAACCGGCAGCACGAAAACACAAAGCTGTCCACCGTTGTACCGATACACCGAGACGGAGGGGTATGTTCTAACCACGTCCCCCCTGAACCAATTTTCTGCTGCCATATTTACAAAATTGAGACAGCGGTGTGCCTTGAATACAAAATTGTAAACACTCTCAACAATTTGGCATAAGATTTTATTCATCGCTGCTTTTGTGACCGTATCCTGCAGATTTATAGGATGCATGGAAAGTAAGCCTCACCCCAAACTTGTGCCCGGTGTCAATAAAGCAAATACTCTACAAATCCAGTCACACTCGCACGCACAGACCTACTGGATCATGAGACGCGCAACCCTCAACTTTTGTTTTAAAATACCGGAGAAAAAAAGTGCGTCATGATCCGGAGAATACGATCGTCCCGTTCGGGAGAGTGAAAGCCTCGAGTGCCTGCTTATCGTAAAAAATAAAACAAAGCCCCATTTGCACATCTACGTCAGCTGATGTTTCAACAGCAGCTGACGTGTTCCTCCGTGCGCCAGAACCTTAAGCGGTAACCAGCGAGCGCGTCCCATAATCTGAGTGCGGCGAGGCTGCCCGGGGCTTTAAGCCCCGCGTGTTTACGGGCAGACGCCTCCTTGTCCAGCTCTTGTTGCCTTATGAGGAGCGACTCCACGGTTGCTTGTTTAGTTTAAAAATTCACTGTATCGAGATTTGTTAGTGTAAGTTTTGCGTGTGTCATGAACCGCAAATGGCTTTATTAAGGTAAAAAGCAATGTGAGAAGGAGCACGTTTTATTATTAATATGTTTTTCCTTCTCCCTCTGGGCCTGCCATGCATTTTTTTATCTTAATCGGGCTACAGTTTTACTCTGCAAATACACTGGTGCATTTACTTCACCCTACATTACAAATGCATTTTTCATATTTTGCAATAGGCTTTATGTTTAGCATTAAGCTTGTTAATTAGTCGTCATAGTAATGAACTAATGAATGAATAAAACAGCAGCCATGGTCAATCCACTGCCGGATGAGGGTCTGCTTACGCCTTATTTAGATCATGTGAGGAATGAGTAGACGTGGGGAGCTGGGAAGTACAGCACAACGGTGGATTTTGCCGCACGGCCCTCTGCATGCTGACCACCAGGTAGGAACATCCCCGCAAGCCGCCTTTGACAGCACGGCATGCACCGGTGGCCATATACATCCCAAGAGCCATCCAGCAGCCTCAACCGCGCGCAAGCTCACAAGAAGATCTCACGACATCGGGCGCATTCATGGGCGGTTTTGGTCGCAGGCGGCTCGCTGTAATGACGCTTCGCGACGCTAATCGAAGCAAGTGGCTCACTGCGCGGGAATGCCCGGCCACGTAAGGGTTGTGAGCGCGTCCTTACGAGCCCCTGTCTCCTTTTTACTTTTTTTGGTATGACTTATGTTGGTCCAGTCTTAAAGTGGTACGCAATGTTTAGCAGCGGTGGCAATTCGGTGACGGGGGCCGCAGCCGCCGTCCCCTCGAAGAGGTGAAGGTGGGCACGGGAGTTGCAGCAGAATGCACGATAGGCGATGCGGTATATGTATATGTCACAAAAAAAAATATAACACTGATTATTATTCCGTTGTACGTTTTATACCCAAGTTTGTTTAATGATTGTTTACCATCGACCGTCATTACCCCCTTGAGGTTTTGTATACCCTCCACACACCGCCCCCTAACCCCGGCCCTTAAACAAGGTGATGTTACAAGGTTGGTCCTGTGGTCCGTGTTTGGTGGAGCTGTAGTGCAGCGGTGAGCACGCCGCGCTACAAACTCTGCGGCCCAAGTTCAGTTGGCACTCACGGCCAACACCGCTGGCAATTATCCGAACCAGTCCTGGGGCCTCCCTAAGGACGACTCAGCCTCGACAACGAGTGCCTGGCTGCGATGTGTAAGCATCGCCACTCGGGAGACTAAGGCGGGCCGGGTTGAGGTGCTGGCCACCATACCCACCCCCGTGGTGTGCCGTGCCGACCCTTCATAGTTGCTGCCGCTCGCGAGCAGCGCTTGCACCCCACCGTCTACTAAGGCTCTAACGGGGCGGGGTGGGACCTTCGTGTTGTGTGTCGTGTGTGTTGACCGTCGCAGAGCCCTCATTTTACTTCGGCGAGGTCGAGTACCACGTGGACGAGAGCGCCGGCTTCGTGGAGGTGCGTGTGTGGCGCACCGGGACCGACCTCTCCAAGACGGCCACCGTCACCGTCCGCTCACGGAAAACAGAGCCCGTGTCGGCCGAGGGTAACCCGAGACGCACCCAACCACCGCGCACGGCCACGATGGGCCACGATGGGCAGCTGAACGCTGAATTAAAGGCGGATCTCATGAAGGCGCGCAATCGCTGTGCGAGCGGCGAAACACGCCGCTGATTTCTTTTTTTTATTCCCGCTTTTTCCTAAAGCAACAAAAGTACGGCACTTGATTTAAAAAAAGAAAAATCCTTCACCAGGTGAGGCCAATTAAGATACGATCATAACCTGCACATTGAAAACATTGATCGCATCTGGTCTGAGTAACTTGGCATCCTTTGAAGCACTGCTCTGATACAAGTACGGGTCTCTTAATAAGAAAGACAATGTTCTGAATGTCAATCCTACTTTACATAAACCAATTTCATATATATTGAAATATTCAGATGGCAAAATGTACTGCCCAAGTAAAAAAACAAATAATCCTCGTGCTAACGTTTGGCTCCTTAGTTGTTTGCACATTCGCATCTTGCGGTTTGGTTATAGCAAATATGTGAGAGTTATTCCAACGAGAAAAATATCGGGAGCTTCATAATTAGCGCCACACACCTGTGTTGGTCTACAGAGGCTGCCACGGCGGCATGCGCAGGTGCAAGGCGCTCGTGAATCTGCTCAGTGTCTGGAGGAGTTGCCTCCAGTGCCCAATATGCCCGCTTTGCATCTGCCACCACACGTGTCTCAAATTGCTCCAGCTGCCTCCAAATTGCTTTGCCAGGCAAGCCATGCCTTCGTGAGTAAGCGCACTTAGCATCCATCCGTCGCACGCTCCCACTTCACAGGTACCATCGTGACGACGCCATTTATAGAGCGTCCAAAATCCGAACGCATCTCAAGATGTTGTAACAATAGGGGACACGTACATTGAGAGAGTACGAAGAGATGATTTTGTTTCACGTTTGCTGAGCAAAGGCCCAAATGCCCGAAACACCAAGCGGCCAGCAATACAGAAGGTATTTATAAAATAGATATATATTCCCGAGTCAATAATTACGATCCATATGTGTGGGTTAGACCACGTTGTTTTATGTCATATCATGCCATTGCCGGGTGCAGTAAATGAAGAAGCTCAATACCGGTGGTGGGCTACTTGTGGCCCGCGGGTCGCATCATATCCCGTGGAGCCGCTCGTGGCGGCCTGGTCTAAATGTTTTGATTTAAAGCTTTCGTGACTGCAGGGATTCATATTCTTGCTTCTTTCGGTAAAGTCACCACGTAGAAGGGAAACAATAAAATAATAAAAATATAAAACAATAAAATTCTCACGACGTTTCGACTGCAACACAAGCAATCATCATCAGATGTGAAAACCACAACAAGAACATTTTTCAAATTTTTCAAATGTTCTTGCTGTGGTTTTCACACCTGATGATGATTGCTTGTGTTGCAGTCGAAACGTCGTGAGAATTGTATTGTTTTATATTTTTATTATTTTATTGTTTCCCTTCTACGTGACTTTACCGAAAGAACCAAGAATATGGTCTAAGTGTGTTTAGGCTTTTCCCTGGGGTCACAATTAGTGCACAAGCACAATGTCAAGGAGGGCCACTCATGTGGCCCACTGACTAGTGTGGGTTGCCCATCACTGCTGAAAGCAGTTTGAGCGAAACATCATGGTTGATGTTCAATTTCGTCAATGAAATGTTTTGAGCCACCGTTGAGGAGCTGTATTGGTCAGCATTAAATCAATAAATCGGCACGCATAAATAATGTTTGTAAAGCTGACAAACTAGTCAGGTGTTTGGAGGGTTAATGACAGGAATTTTGGCATTAAACCAATACATGGCCTCACCAAAAAAAACAAATATGGATCAACAAACAAGGTGCCATAGATGCTCATAGATACGATTGAATACATTTCTTGAATCGAGCCAGGTTGTGAGAACTTGTCAAAAGAGGGGATTCCGGAGTCGATCCATTCGACAGAAGAAGCAGAAAGAGAAATGTCTTGGCCTGCAGTGCGGTGATCGATCACAAGTGTCGGGATGAGACAACCCAGTGTGGTAGGCATCCCAGAGGGCGTTGTGGTAGAATTGTGAATGAAGGAAATTCATATAGCCACGTGATGAAATACAAATACAAGTGTTATATTTTTGCTCAACAAAAAAGTAGCCGAACTTAGGAAAGTGTATGTGAAAATGTGCAGGCACTTTGGTCATGGATTTTTTTTTAGGATAAATAAGTTTCCAGGGTAATAATAATGTTAATTATTTCATTTTATATAGCGTCATTCATGCTAATAGCATCCCATAATGCTGTACATTAATTATATATAAGGGCCAAATCCCATATACAGCCACTGAAAACCAAAACACCGAGCAAAAAAAATTAATAAACAAGTTAATAAATGGCACCAAAACAGAAAAAACCCACAAACAACAGCAAAAAGTTATCACAACAAATAAATTAGTCCATTAGTGTTCTCAACATCCCAGACCACAATCCCAACTTCCCAACGAAGCCGGGTAAAAAAAGCCCTCTTTGATCTGTGGTGACCTTTCAGGCTCTGGTTTGTTGCTTGCGGTGCATCACAATGTCAGGAGAGAACTGGCGTCCTCGGACATACACGAAAGCGTTGACATCCGCGCAAAAGAGCGGTTAGTCCTCGGTGCCCCCACGTGATTGTGAGGCAGCCGTTGCAGCTGGTTTGGTTCAATGGGTGTGCTTTTCTTGGCAGGGAATGCAACATTGGCAGCAGCCAGGCTCAAAACGAACCCAGCAAAGTGTTGTGAGAAAAAAAAAAGAATAACGGAAGCAAAGCCTCGTGGTACAGCCTACTCGCCCAGCTAAGTTGGTAAACAAATGTGAATTAGCTAAAAGCAGCTGGAACCATTTAACAAATGGGTACAATGACTCGCTTGTACTGAACTTCACGAAACATTGCCCTTTATAAGTGTGATTGACTCAAGAGCATGCTATGTGCGCACTTGGAAATTCAACTTTGCTTTTACAGAACCTGTATTCTCATACATTCAAAAAAAACAACTGCTCTTGTGATGACAACGCCCGGTTACATTGTTTCGTCATTACAGTTTCCTCGTACCATGCGTTATTGTTAATATACGTTACGTGTGCATATAGAGGTAAAACAACATTTACGTGGAAAGATTTGGCTTATTATATCAAGTACTGTATGAGCATCAATGAAAACATTGCAGCTCCGAAGGTTTATTTTTTATTTGCAAAGTAAACTTCTGTAAAGCTCGTCAACACCGAATATAAATAAAATACATTACCTTATTAATTTCGTGTTCATTAAAACGGAAATTAGCCGCAGTGTGGTTTAAATGCAGTACGCTGAAACACGACTGCACCGGAAAATTGATGGCTACAATACTACGTCTCAAAATAATAGTTTTTTTGCTGAATCGTTCACAAAGAGAGACTTTTTTTCATTCTTGGGGTTCCAGTTTGCATGTGTACTGAGCTTTATCTTTTCAACTGCTGACCACCTTCAGCAATGCAGCAATGACGTCAACCAGTTTCGCATGTGCGCAGAACACGGCTCTGTAAAGTGGCCAACCTCTTTATTCAAAGGCATTGGTTTTTACAGGTAATCTACTGATAAACCCAAAGTACATAGAATAATTTGACATGGTTTGTTTGGGAAAGGATCTGGCCTTTTTTTTTGCAGTATGTTACATGTTATGGAAACGTGTTGAAATACCTATTCAGGTCAGTGATGACAGTGTAGTGCCACTTTCTCAGATTTGGTTAAAAGACATTGACATGTGAAATGGAAGAGGAATATAACCGTAATCTTCTGAACAATATTGGCATAAGCTACGCTGGAACAAATTTGCTTGGTTATAAACATAGCAAGACCGTATTTGAAAGAATCAAATTGCACGGTTTTTTTTCCCGTTAACTGTTTTCAATAGCGTAATATACTGCGGCAACATATCAGTTTGAATAAACACATTTGTACTCCATCATCGTTATGGAACAAACAATTATTATATCTTGGCTAAATAAATTAGGAACAACAACATCAAAAACTTCCTCCGGAATAAACAAAGACTCTCTGTTGCTTTTATGGACGCATTACTTGTCATACCTTGTAGAGTTAGTTCCGCCACGCATGCAGTCGTCCGAGTTGTCTGCACACGATGACTCGGGGATCTCAGAATCCGTGAAGGATTTGAACCTGGCGAGCACGTGGATGGGGACCACTCGTGCGGGATAGATGTTAACTACCTTGCCTGGTATGCAGGAGGTTGTGGGTTCAATTCCAACCTGACCCCTGTATATTTGAAGTTTGCACGCCTCGCTCCCCGTGGTCGGGTGGATTTTTCTCCAGTCCTCCGGTTTTTTCCCTCCACATTTAGAATCAAAATGCATTTAGAGTATTTGGCTGCTAGAAATATTCACACGATAAGCCACTGCATTGAGCTATCATTTGTGTAGTCAGGTCGCTTCTGAATAATAACTATATAGCTCAGTGGGCCTTACCTGGTAAAAGAAAAAATAGTTTATAGTTTAGTTTAGCATGCCAGGTGTCATAGGCAGTGAGGCTCTATGAGTGGCAATTTTGACTAGGAGATGACAGTACATCAGTGGGCTCAGTCCACATAGATTGCATGTGTTTTTTTTCTCTTTCGGCAGATCAAATCTATCTGTATTGAAACTTTGGTGCTTCATCCCGTCGTGTGGATTTTCTGCGAGCATTCAAAAGATCGCACATATTCCATCTCATGGAAGTGGCCAAACATCCCAATGCAGGACTCAACTGAAAACAAAACGTGTCCTCAGGCTCAGTGACGTATTCCTCGGCAAATAGCTGGTATTCATATTATTTGTCGTCGGCTTTCAGTGAGGACAACATTACAGGTCGCTTATCGGCATAACCACCAATTCCCTTCATTTACACAGTATATATAGCATTGGCCGGTGGAGTAAAGTGTATGTACTCCCACCTCTTCCAAGAGCAGTGTGGAAGAGTAGGCCAAATATCCTCAAGAGGGGCCCTCTTCAGCTCACTCTAGTGGAAGCCCTTCTGCCAGCAGTGGCGTGTGCAAGCAATTGCAGGGCTGCACCTTGACCAATCTACCCAATAAACACGAACGTGACTATAACTAAATATTTTCTCCATTTTCCTGGAGCAGTGGCGAAAAAATAGCAAAACGTAAGCATAATCTGGCTGTTTAAGCAAATAACATCTGTTTGACAGATTTTCACGCTTCAATGTGCACCGTACTAATGCCTCTTTATGGGCCCGTGAGAATAGGCATGCAAACATGGCCACAATTTTCCGTGTTATGTTCCACAATCCCATCCACAGTGTGCAGCGCCCTCTTGTCTCTGCGTGCAGGGGTTAAAGTGAGGGATTAGAGAGGTTAATGTGAAGGGATGGTGTTTGAGGTGAAGCCGGTTCTATCTACAACTGTGTCCACCTTATAGCAAAAAATTCAAAGATGACGCCCCACAATTTCTTGCTGGCAGAAGGGGCTCAGAGTGAGAAAGTTCCAGAGAGCTGCTATATAGGGCATTCTTGGCCTACTCATTTATGGTGGCTAAATGTCTTGGAAGAGGTGGGAGCACCCACACTTTATCCCACCACATGTGGCCTCCTGACTGTGGCATCTCGATTTATGCGACTGGCACACTTGGAGATTAAATATAACTGGTGACGTCTGGATTGCAAGTCCATTGCGCTTACTTGGATGGAGACTACAGCGGTATTGTTGTCTAACCAATATGAAGTGGGGAGAAACGTCAGTGCTTAAATGAGTCAACGAGGTCCCAAAATTAATCAGACTTAGATTTTTTTAATGGACTTTTGATGCGTATTTAGCTCCAAGTGAAATAAATAAGTTTGATTACCCACAATTTACATGATATCGTTTAATGCGTGAGAGTATAAATACTACGTTTTTCTTTGCTAAATATGCCTTAAAGGCAAATGATATAACATTACTATACTAGCATGAAAATGATTGGACGTTTTTTGTCTTGTACCATAGAATCACAGACACAGACATGCATTGAATTTCTTATTTCATTCACCTTGCCTCGTAGATAACTCTGGTGTCACGTTTGAAATTAAATCATGAATATTATATTGCAAAAAAACAAACATATTTTTGCATATGCCCCATGGCACCAGAATATTACAGTGAAAAATATTTCCCAGTGGCAATTTGTTCGAGAGGTTTAATAGCTAAGTTGCACAGAGACATCTCAGCCCAGCCAGAAATCAATAATGTGCTGACTTATAACCTCCAACACTTGGCACGAACAGAGATAACCTCTCTTGCAGGCACTAAGCAGATTCAAACTGCATTGAGTTTTGAGATTTACAAAAATGAGAGAGATTCCATAAAAATAAAAAAAAACATCAAACCAATGACGAGAAGTGTTTTGGTTTGCGTTGCTCTCCAACGTGTCTGTGGGTCGCACTGCATGTTGAAGAATCTTCTCCAGCGCGTGGGTCGAAACGTCGTGCCTTCACAGCACATGCGATACGATCCGAAAACACACCGTGGGCGGCTGTACAGCACAACCGCACACACCTCCACCGCGGATATATCTCACGCTTGGTGTTTATTTGTTTGTTTATTTATTGCAACAAAACGCGACCCCGACGCAGTACGCCGCGTGGCTTACGTGACCGGCCATCGCAATTCACGGAAGGCGGTCCCGACGCAACTGAGCCATGTGAAGGTGGTGGGAGAAGGTAAAAAATGGGGAAAGCTCCCCCCCCCCCCGCCCCCCCCACCGCTGCCCTAACCGAGTGAGGACGCCACGTGGGAGAGGAGATTAAATCTCACGCTTTGGCTTTAAACGCTGCGTCTCTCTTGCAGCCGGTGTCGACTACGTCGGCATCAGCCGGAACCTGGACTTCGCTCCGGGCGTCACGATGCAGACCCTGCGCGTCACGATTCTCGACGACCTGGGCCAGCCGGTGCTGGAGGGCGTGGAGCGCTTCGAGCTGGTGCTGCGCATGCCGATGAACGCCGTGCTCGGGGAGCCCAGCAAGACCACGGTCCTCATCAACGACTCGGTGTCCGACTGTGAGCAGCATCGCAGCATCATCATCCTCCTCCTCCTCCTGCCACCCTCCACCCTTCCCCCTTCCACCTCCAACTACCCCTGCCCCCAATTTGCATATGGCTGACTATTCCTCTCTCTCTCTCTGTGTGAAGTGTCAGGTGATCGAAATTGCCTCCCTAGACTAGAATTCTATCCCGTTCTTATAAAAAAAAAAAGCCCACATGAAGCACACGATGTGGGCTTCCCACCTCCCATTAGCACGGTTGGCTACGTAGGGTGTGAAATAAGTTCAACATATATATAATATACATGCATGCTTCCCCTGTTTTTTCAGCATCTTTAAATTCATTCGCATTTAGATGCATTATGAGTCCACGTTGTATTGTGTTGCATTTGTCTCCATTCGTCCACTCACTGATTCATTCACTCGTTGACTCGGTAATTTTAGAGGAACATTTTATTTTTAAATACAGAGCTCTATTAGTGGTGCGCAGTTGTATGACCACAGGGCACTCGCTCCACACTGCCACGCCATATAATTTTAACCTAATAATAATAAGAACCATAGAATCTTGCACACACATGGATTTCTTAACGCTTGTCAACGTGTGTTCATCTTCGGAAGTATTTAATTCGCAGTACAGATGTCAATTTGGCTACCCGTGCGGAGGTCAAAGCGTGCTGGCATATTTCCAAATCGTGCCATTAACTATGGTGTTGTCCTTGTTGTCGTTGTTGTCTTCACATTTTGGGAATTCGGGCAGTTTTTTCAAGAGGGGGGAAGTTCCTTGCGGCAATGCGACGTAGCACTGCGGGTTCGCTCTCATCGCACGGCGCTTACAAGAATTTCAGAGCCGCGCCGTTGTGGACCAAGCGACGGAGCTAGTGCCTCAACGCTTTCGACCTCAGTGGAATAAGCCACAACAAACAAGCACAAATAATCAAGCTCAGGCATGTCGCCTACGCCTGCACTCGATGCGCGCGAATCAAACGCAACCGCAGGGAGGCAAGCGGCAGTGGCGAGTTCGGGAGGGATTTTGGCAATCGAGCAAACGAGGGGGCGAGCACAGGGGCAAGGGACACGGAGAGACGAGGAGACGAGCGCGAATGCGACATCGCCCAATGCCATCGCCGAAGGGTTTCTTCGCGTCTGCAAAGAGTTTCCCCCGAATCGGCGTGCGCAAAGTTAATTGCAGCTGCGATATGAAGGACGCGCAGCTGCAATTGGTGCGCACGCAAATTGAAGTTGATCAGATTATGTAGCTGCCATTAAATAATGAAGCAAACTCGCATTCTGATGGGCTCCGCAAGATAAATTCCCTCTTTGGCGTTAACAACGTTAAACTGCTCCGTGGGGGAAGCTGTCTTGAGAAATTACCATTTGTCTTAAAACGTGCAATGCCTTGCATGTTAATACTCCTTAGTGCTGCCTTGAAACGTAACTTAAAATATATTATTTAAGTCGTGTTTTTGTTGATTAGGTATCCCAATCTTGAAGTGACCCACTTTTACAGCTTCATTCTACACAGATAGGTGTTGTGAAAAACTGAAGAGCGTCTCGTACGCTCAAATTAAACACGTTCCATTCTTGCGCGTGGCAACATTTCCAGGAGCTAAATGCCAACGACGAGAGGGCTTCTGGAGAGACTCCGTGCAGAACTCTATTCAGACAGTCACGCATGAGTATGCCTACAATCCAGGGGGCCAGGGGTTGGTGGATCACACAGATTAGTGAATCTCCTGAACCCACTGGGCTGAGAGGTAGCCACAACGTATCAGTACATTTAAACGAGTTGTATAAACATGTCATTGGGCATTTGCGCGTTATCCTCTCATGCGTGTGGGTTTTCGCCAACTAGCAACTCTACACCAGCGGATTTCATTTGTCCGATCTTTTCGGTGGGTAGCCAATCGGGTGTGTTCCCTCCTGTGGCTACCACTCTGTCGTGAGCCTTGACCACCGACCATTATGCATGTGTGTATCTCCGATTTAGCACGCTTGGCTACAAGCAGTGCGAAAGAAGTTCAACATACTGTGCGTACGCATCATCCCTTCTCACGAGATGTCCTGCCCAAGCCCACTTCCTTTTTTTGTGTGAACAGATGGAATTTACGTCATTTACTTGTGTATATGTTCTCAAAACCAATGGGTTCCCCTCTCTCTGTTTTTGAACATAATTCCAAGCTTGCGTCTCTCCACGCTTCTTAGCCTACTCTTGCTTGGCCGCCCAGTGCTTCCGTGCCACAGTTAACCACGCTCACCGACATTGCCTCCCCTTTGCCGCGCAGTGCCCAAAGTGCAGTTCAAGGACCCGTTGTACACCAGCAACGAGAACGATGGGCAGGTGTCGGCCGTGGTGTACCGCAGCGGCGACGTCGGCTACAAGTCGACGGTGCGCTGCTTCACGCGGCAGGGCACGGCGGAGGTCATGATGGACTTCGAGGAGAGGCCCAACACGGACGACTCCGTCGTCACCTTCCTGCCTGGTACGCAGCGCGCTCGTTCATAGGGCAGCGTCCTTCTTTGCCAGGCCCGTGGTGACCTTTAGTGTGACCCCTGACGTGCGGCCCCCGACAATACCGCGGTGGTGAGATGTTAACTTCCTCGCCTCGTATAGAGGAGGTCGCGGGTTCAATCCCGACCCTGACGCCTGCATATTTGGAATTTGCACGTTCTCCCCGTGGTCGCGTGGATTTTTCTCTGGGTCCTCCGGTTTTCCCCTCCACATTCATAATCAACATCACACGTTTAGAATATTTGGCTGCTTTAAATTTACAGATGATAAGCTACTTCATTGGGCTATCAATCGTGGCCAGGTCGCTTCTGAAAAATAGCTATACAGTTCAGTGGGCCTTCGTTTATAGTTTCTACACAAAATGTGACAACGCTCACCATCACTGTGCTGTGGAATCCCAATTGTTTCAAACATGTGGCCGCCCTCACACTGATGTCTTGTTGATGAAAGTGGCCTCCACTCTGAAAATGAGTGGAGAACAACACTGGTTGTAGGGCCACCACCGGTTAATACTGCGGGTTTGTGTTAACCGTGAATGGTATGCCTCGGTGGACGCACTTGACTTTCATGGTGTTGATGAAGCACATGTTAGGTGTTGCCTATTTATCTTGAAGATGTATCAGTCACAACGAAGGACTTTAAGTTAAGCTGCTGTGGGGCAACAGAAATGAAAACGTTAATGTTAATTGCGTTTGTGCGGTGCGTTTGTTAATTCCTCCGATTAATGAGAACCTTCCCACGCCGTGCCAGCGGTGGGGTGTTATTTGGCCATACTTCACCACGCCGGTTAGTGCAGGTTGGTGAAGGTGGTGATCGTAGATTTGGAAGCATAGATGGTACAGGAGAACAGGTGGATTCATTATTATTACTCAAGGCAAAATGCGGAGTGTTTATTCGTGCTCCAGCTGAGTTTTCACATAACTGCATTATCAAGACTTTAGATATGAATACTGTTGATCCAGTCTGAATAAACATAGTGCACACACTTAAATATAGAAATGACCTTGGCCAGGATGACACAAAGAAAAAAATGTCTGAATGTGATCTTATTTGTGAAACTCTCTATATATCTACATGCATGCAATGCATTGTTATACAGCAGCCTCCTTTCTCTAAATGATTGTACTAATTCTCTGATCGTTGCATTACGACTGAGCGTCTCTTTTCGCGGGTAGGCGAAATTTCGTCTTCATGCCGCGCAGACGGGGATGTTCGGACCAGCTTTGGTTGCGGGTCTTGTCAACCTAAATGATGAATCGCACTGCTGAGAAAGCATCTCGAGGCGTGAGCAAGCTAAATTCCCCTGGCCCGACATTTTAAAATAGCCCATCAATGTGTATCCGCCCGCCCCCCCCCTACCCCCATTAAAACCCATTTTGTCTCACAGGGCACTCGCGACCCGTTGCAGTGGTGCGGTCTTTGCCTCGCGATCGATTCCCGCGACACAGACGGGCGAATAATTATCATTGATTTATGCCCCCCCCCCATCGGCCACCAGCGTTTGCCTTTGACAGCCACGGCGTAGGAACTTTGCGTGCAAGGGATACCGCTCCGTCCGTGCACTTTGACTTGCGTGTGTGCTAAAGAGTTTGCACGTTTCGAGATTACATTCCTGCCTGGGAGTCTCCCATGCAGAGCTAAGGGGCCGATGGATGAGCAGTGACGACTGACTGATGAAGCGGCCTCCTTTCCCTCAGAACGGTTTCGTGATTTAGAAACAAACCCTTCGCATACCACAGCCTGATCTTCCAACCTGTACCAGCGACTTGGTTTTGTTTTGTTTGTTGATTTCAACCTCCCCCCCCACTCTACTACTCAACTATTCCTCTTTCCTTTCCAAAGGTGTGTCATGTTATATATTTATATTGCTGTATTGTATTATATTATATAAGATGCTGCCAAGGTATAATGGTTAAGGCACCGGACTTGCAATACACAGATCCCCCTTCACCTCCCCTCTCCCCCGCCGGCTACCTCTGTCCTACTCGGCGCTACCAATGAGTAAATCCCAGTCGGCCGATCGGCTGGTCAAATGTGGTGGCACAAAATGTGGGTGCTCCCACCCATTGCGTGCGTTTGGCCAGCGTGTAGGCCAACGTACCCTCTCAAAGGGCTCCCTCGGAGCTCCCTCTAGTGGAGGTCCTTCCACCAGCAGCGACGTGAAAAATACACTGCAGGGCTGCGCCTGTACCTTTTTACACATTTCTAATCTGCGCTGCGTTGTGATCATTTTAAGCCCTTTGTCAATCCGTTGCTGAGTGAAGGTCTCCCCAATGCCATGTCCATTTTAGGGGTTGTTTGACCATACTTAGCCACGCCGATCAGTGGGAATTGGCGAAGGTTCACATATCGCGACCATCATTGCTGTCTGATGGTAGCTGCGCGCCAGGAATCAAACTCGGGTTGTGAGGTTTCAATGCACAAAGCGCGAACCACCGCACCACCGGCCCATCTTTAAATAATACCGCCATATATCTCTCGATGTTGTTCTCTTGAATATAAAAGTAATGAAGGAGAAGACACATTTTTTATTAACGTTGACTCTAGATATGAAACAACAAAAACATCCCTCGTAAAAACAGAGCTGTGGAAATTGCTAAAGTATTGGGGTTTTTTTTGCAGCTAAAAAGTACACTGCATATTTCAACATTTATGTGACAGCAAGAGGAAATTGGGTTCGAAAATGATGTACCATGTTTATTATTTTTGCACCGCTGAAATTGCTTGATTGAATGTGCCATAAAAATAACGAGAGATAATTTTTGTCTCCCCCGATATTCGCGTGCTTGATGTACGGTGCGTGAAATGTCACAATTGAAATTCCGCCGATACCTTGAGTTATTCACTTGCCGTAATCATGTACGTCATATTTGAACATCAAAAAGGTCCCCCGAAATTTCCAATGCGAGTTACAGGTATCCCTTCTAAATGCTCGTAACAACGTGACCGGAGAAAGAGCGTGTGTCATCCTCATTGTCTTGCAGGCGAGATAGAGAAGCCCTGCACGGTGGTACTGGCGGACGACACGGAGTACGAGGAGGAGGAGGAATTCCGTCTGGTGCTGGGCTCTCCGCGCAGCGAGTCTCCGTTTGGGGCCTCCATCGGAGAGCAGAACGAGACCCTGGTCACGATCAAGGACGACGCTGACAGTGAGGCCACAGACCCTCACAGATTGTTTGCCCCCCCCCCCCCTCTCCTCACGCATTTGCACGCAACGACGCACGCACCCACACGCGCATGTGAGTGAGCGCGTACGTCCGTGCACGCACACACGCGCGCGCATTCGCGCGCTGACATACGAACGCACTCACGCGCACACGCATGTGCACAACATTCTAGCGCATTCGCATGTATGTGTGTATGTGCGTCTTTCGGTAAAGTCACGTAGATAGGTTCAAAGAAAATGACATAAAACTACGACCGCTTGTGTTGCGATCGAAACGTCGTAGTTTTTTGTTATTTTCTTTGAACCTATCTACGTGACTTTACCGAAAGACCCAAAGAATATGAATTACTGCAGCCACGAAAACTTTAAGTCAAGATTCTTCCGCACCGTTCGTAGCCAACCGTGCTAATCAGAGGTGCGGGTGAGGCAATCCTCCTTCACATTTAATTAAACGTATCGGAGAGTGTGTTGACACTGTGGTAGACGCACAGATGCGAATATGCTTCACCACCGCCATCGGTCTTAGCGCGGTATTTATGAATAACTTCGGCAATGGGAACGGGTATTTTCAAGTGCCCATCCTTCCCATTAACAAAAACACAGCGTGACACTCACCGACACGCACCGAGGAGGTCATACCCATATGACAGCGTAAATGAAAGGCGTTGGCCAAAGGTACATACGCTGACACCGCTTGCTCACGTCACCGCTGGTGGAAGGGCCTCGACGAGAGGCAGCCATAGAAGATGCCTCGCTCCGCTACCACGGTACGCATCCCTGACTGCGCATTCAACTGGAAGGAAACAATAGAGCTGAAATCTGCGTGAACTTTCCCAAACCCCTCATTAATCGCCACCCCCCCCCGCCCCCCGCCACTACCCCCAGCACGCGCCAGTGCGAACAGCAGACATAGGCGCGTGTTCACGGCCACGTCCGGCGCTCCCTTCCTCAGAGCCGATCATAAAGTTCGCGGAAACCAAGTTCAGCGTGAACGAGCCGAAGGAGGCTGGGCAGGTGGCGACGGTGCGCATCGCGGTCGTGCGCACGGGCGACGTCTCCAAGCTGTCGGTGGTGCGCGTGCACACCAAGGACGGCTCGGCCACCTCCGGCGAGGACTACCACCCCATCTCCGAGGGTGAGCCCCCCCCCCCCACCGCCTCGCCCACCCCCCCCCACTCCACGGCCTCCCGAGGCCGTCTCATTCGTGCCCCCCCCCCGCTGTTGAAAAAGGGAGCGGGGATGGACTCTCGAATGAGAAAATTCGTTGAATTGCCGGTGGGGTGAGGCATTGCAGTTGTACTGCGCAGTGGCATACGCTGTGATTGCGTAATCAGAAGGGTGTACATAAAATAATAGCATGTTATATATTAAAAAAGGTAAGCTCAATCATTAATATAGTACAAACCAATTATGGCTCACTCCTTGATGTTGTAATATTTTTTTGTTTGAGGATGGTGATATCCGGTTTCTCTTATTTTATAGGTTATAAAAAACAAGATATATGCGTGGCGTCTATGATATTTCAGGTGAAGGAGATGACGAGGCCGATGCTTTCCCCTTTCAGTGGAGCCATTGGAATGGGATCAATGTGCTTGATGTGAACGGCGTCGCTGTTGAAACGTTTCTCAGAAATCGAGTTCAAGGAGGGCGACAGGGAGCACTTTGTGGAGGTGGAGGTGCTGTACGATGGGGTGCGGGAAATGCGTGAAGCCTTCACCGTCCACCTGAAGCCCGACGAGAACATGGTGGCCGAGACTCAGGTGCCGACGCGCAGACACAAACGCGCGCACGCACGAACAAAGACAAAGATCCCCCGTATAGCCTTAACAGACTGTTGGGGAAAGTGCTGTTTGCGAAGGACGGCACGGTACACGAAAGGGGTGGGTGGCCAGCGCCACGCCCGACCGCCTTTGTCTCCCCAGTGGCGATGATTTTACACACCACACCAGGTTACTCATTTGAGGCTGAGTCGACCTTAGGTGAGGCTCAGGACCGGTTCAGATAATCGTCACTGGTGTTGGCCGTAAGCAGGAAATCGAACTCAGGTCGCCTGGTTCGTAGCGCAGCGCGCTAACCTTCTGCACTACCGCTCCCCACGCACACACGAAAAAACGCACGCAGACACACACACGAAAAAACGCACGCAGACACACACACACGCAGACACACACACACGCAGACACACACACACACGCGCATTCGCGAGCAAGAATGTTTCTGCAAGATGAACAATATCGCACGTGCCGCTCCCCGCACACGAACACACGCAGACGCGCGCACCCGTGCACAAGATCACTTCTACGAGATGAACAATATCACACCGCAGTGGGCGCTGTTGAAAGCGGTCACGTTTGGGATGACCCCCGCCGCCCACGCCCTCCAACCCCTATTCCTGCACTCCCGCTTTAGATGAACAAGGCCATCGTGTACATCGAGGAGATGAACAGCATGGCTGACGTCACGTTCCCGTCCGTGCCGCACGTCGTGTCACTGCTGCTCTATGACGACACGGCCAGGGCCAGGGAGAGCCCCCACCCGCCCGCCGGGTATCCCGTCGTCTGTGTCACGGTGAGCCGGCCGCTCGCGCCGCAGCGGGAGGGCTTCAAAGAATCACGAAGACGACGACGACGATCTATGTTGACCTGTGATGTTTGTTGAACTTCTCTCGCACCGTACGTAGCCAACCGTGTTAATCGGAGGTGCGGGGGGAATGACAACAAACTGAAAACACTGCTATCGTTTTTTGTACTGTTCGTTGTTGTAACGTTCTGACTCGCCCCTACTGGACATCTGTGCAAAAAAAGAGCTTCACAGCTCATCGGATTCCTCCAGGCTAAATATTCTGATTCTGACTTGTCCAACATACCGCGGATGGTTTGGACTTTTAGTATGCGAATTGACAATTTGGGGGGGGGTCGATCCCGCGAGTCGAAGAAGGTTGTCCTTGCTGCTGTCGGCAGTAGCATCGCACGTGTCACGATTCGCCCCGCGTTCTCTCGCCCGCCCGCCCGCCCGCCCCGCAGGCCTGTAACCCCAAGTACTCGGACTACGACAAGACGGGCTCGCTGTGCGCGAGCGAGAACATCAACGACACGCTGACGCACTACCGCTGGTCGGTGAGCGCGCCGAGCGGCGCCGACGGCGTGGCGAGCCCCATGCGCGAGGTGGACGCCAACACCTTCTTCACGTCCACCAAGATCGTGACGCTCGACTCGGTCTACTTCGCGCCCGGCTCGCGCGTGCAGTGCGCCGCGCGCGCCGTCAACGGCGACGGCGAGGAGGGCCTCGAGCTCGCGAGCGCCGTCGTCACCGTCAGCAGCGACGAGGGTGCGCGCCAGCCGCCGTGGGGGGGGGGTTTCGCGTCCCGTGGGCGATCGCGGGGATTTTTTTTTTCACAGATCGGCGAATTTCACAGATCGGCGAATTGCGTTCGCCCGGTCCCCGTCGGTTATATCTGTCCGTCCGTAGCTGGGCAGGGTGGGTGGGGGCTAAGGGGGTCACGATAACTCTTGGAACAGATGGTCCGATTTAATTGAAGCTTTGTTGTCGAGTTGTGTTGCTATGGAAGGAAGGTGTGTTTTTTGTAATGCACGGATAAGGTTGAGAGTGTTGATATATTAGCCTTCTGTCGAGTGTGTTGCTCTGTCTGGAGTGGGGCAAGGGGGGGAGGGGTGTCATCATAACGCTAGTAAAGATGATCCAACGTAAGTGGAACTTTTTTTTTATATATATAAAAGTTGTGTTGCCGTCAGGGACCTAGCCCTATTGAAAACCAGACAAGTATATCGAAGGGTAACCCATACCTCGGCGATAAAAACACCCAGCGAAAATGCAAAAGCCTTTTTGCCGAAGGCAATGAGGTCAGACAGTGGAGGCAGAAGCAAAGAATGAAGGACCTCCCATTGAGCACAGTCTGACAGAGGAGTTGCAGGGAGGGCACTGGTGAAGTCTTAAGCAGGAAGGCTTCATGCTAGTCGCGGTCTGACAGAGGAGTTGCAGGGAGGGCACTGGTGAAGTCTTAAGCAGGCAGGTTTCATGCTAGTCGCGGTCTGATTGCATCGTTTGCTGCGCGGAGAGAATACTAACCGATGCCTCTCATTCCCTCCCACTGCATGCTGCCCCAGGGCTCTGTCAGCCTCGCATTCTGGGAGCAGTGGGGGCAGAGCCATTCACGGCCAAACTGCGCTACACAGGACCGGAGGACCCCGACTACCCCAACCTCATTAAGCTCACCGTCACGATGCCGCACATTGACGGTATGCAACCGTTAAACAACAACAACAACAACAAAATTTCGGAAAATCAGTAGCACGGTGCCGTCAGTTCGGTTGCCCTATGGAATGCTTTGCGGTTTGAATTTACAGTGGCATATGCTCCGAGCCATACCACCTCATTATTTTGCATGAATTTAATTCATTTTGCAGGTTTGTCCTTAAAAATATATATGAATGCTTTTTAAAGGCCCTCTGTAACGCCGTAAACGACAAGCTGAGCTAGAATGAGGGCCATGGAGCGTAGCTGCTCACTTCACGTTTTTATTAATACCGCTCTTTAGCTGTCATAAAAAGGAAATTAATATATATTTTTTTGCTTCTAATTAAAGTGTGGCTTTAATGTGTGAATATTTTTCAAGCTATTAACTTTGATTGCAGTTTTTTTTCGTACACAACCAAAATGCCTAATACCATTGTTTCCTAAGCTTTGTGTCACTGCGAGATCTTTTAAATACATAAACCGCCCCCTACGATGCGATTCTTTTATCATGACCCCTGCCGAGGCATCTTGTTGATGCCCTGGAGAATCATGGCCCACAGTTAGGAAATCCCTGCCGATGTAGACCCAGGCCTGGCCTTTTGGGCGGGCAATCACAGCGGTGGCCCAGGTCACGAAGATCTGAGGGAGGCTGCCAGAAATGTCCTTTTGTTTTAGTATTTACAGTATTTTACTGACGCATCGAAAAACAAAGGTGCCATGGATCACACACGAGTCACGTGACAGACGATGTGTTTTCGGGTTTGACCGTAATTGGCACAATGTCTTGACGTTTTCGTTTCACGTGCTGGGAGCTTCTTCGGAAACTGAATTGAGCAACTCGTTTTCTCTCGATGTTACATCGCTGCTTCTGGTGCCACCAACCCTTGAGACCAATCGAGGGAGAATGTGAACAGCTAAAATCAGTTCCTGAAGAAGCTCCCAGCACAGCATGTGGTGCGAAACGTCGGACATAAACCTATGCAACGAGCGACACGAATGCGACAATACAACGAAGAGCGTATGCAGGACGATCGTGAAAATCTACGCAATGGCATTGTCAAGTAATAACTCGAGAATTATTACTCGAGAATTATTTTCATGGGGTCCCCAAATTCTTTCTTTACCACATTTACATTAAGGCAGGGCCTGTGTACGTATGTTTGTTGAACTTCTTTTGCACCGTACGTAGCCAACCATACTAATCGGAGGGGCGGGGGTAGTGCAACAAACTAAGCCACAAAAAGCAGTTGAGCTGTGCGTCATGTGCTGGATCTACCGGCATCGCGACCTCATTCCCAGGAGTGGCCACGCTGGTTCAGACATAACTCACCACTGGTGTTAGCCACGGCCCGGAATCGAACTCAGGACGACGGTGTTTCACGTCGCTCAAGAAATCTCACGGCGGCTGCTACGGCTCCAGCCGCGCTCCTGTAACGCCTCGCTCACTTCGGCAGGGATGCTGCCGGTCATCTCCACGAGGGCCCTCTCCAACTTCGAGCTAACGCTGAGCCCCGACGGGACGCGCGTCGGCAACCACAAGTGTTCGAACCTGGTGGACTACGACGAGCTGCAGACGCGTCACGGCTTCCTGACCGACGCCACCAAGAACCCCGAGGTGATCGGCGAGACGTCGCCATACCAGTACAGCGCGGGCCTGCGCTCGGCCGCGACGCTGCGCTTCTACCGCAACCTCAACCTGGAGGCGTGCCTCTGGGAGTTCGTCTCCTTCTACGACATGTCGGAGCTTCTCACCGAGTGCGGGGGCAGCATCGGCACCGATGGCCAGGTACGGGCGGCAACCTTGGGCCCTGCGGGTGGCGTGTTCGCCGCTTGTTGCGCAGGTTCGCGGTTCGAATGCACCGGCCGCCCTCGTAATTACTGCGCGTGTGTAATGCGCAGAACGATACGCGCGATCGGATTCACAGTACCGCGCTGGCAAGATGTTAACTGCGTCCCCTGGTATGCAGTAGGTCGTGGGTTCGATCCTGATCCTGACGTGTGCTGTATGTTTGAAGTTTGCATGTTTCTCTCCCCGTGGTCGTGTGGATTTTTCTCCGGGTTGTCTGGGTTTTCCCTCCACATTTTGAAACAACATACATTTAAAGTATTTAGCTGCTATAAATTTCCACGCGATAAGCCACTTCGTTGAGCTACCATTTGTGGCCAGGCCGCTTCTGAAAAAAAGCTACATAGCTCAGTGGGCCATACCTAGTAAAATAAAAAAAAAGTTTAGTTTAGATTAACTGCAGGGTACCCATTTAAACCGCTGGGTGGAGAGGAGGTTAAGAAACTTGCACTATCGTTTCTATTGCCACGCCAGGAGATTGAACCGATAACATGTGTTGTTGTGGAGTAACTCATCCAGCCAGCTATGGCTCTAGGATTTGGTGTTACATGTTATTTATGTAGTTTATTGTAAAAAATCGGTCACAGTCCCTGTGATCACTGTTACGTTGCAATTATGGCTTTTTGGCGATTTCGAAAACGTTTTTTGTTTGGACATGTTTGTTTTGTTGTAGTACGGCATTAGACTGATGGCCTTAATCTAAGTTTTCTTGTGGTTGTTGTTTGACTTGCATCCCACTGGGATTTTTTTTTGCACACAGCGTTGGTGTACGGTGCTTTTTTCAGGAATATTTTGCTGTTTTTTTTCCATGGATTTTCTGTTTGCACAGTCACATAGTCACTTTAAGATGTTTTTCTTGTTCGTGTTTTTGTTTTTTTGTTTGTTGTGGTTGCACCCGATTCAAGAGCTGAATGGCTCACGGGGCTGTTCCAAAATAAATCAAACTGAAAATGTCCGGTGTGCTATACAACCATTGCACCAACGGTTCCTCCTTGTCCAGGTCCTAAACCTGGTGCAGTCGTACGTGACGCTGCGCGTGCCGCTCTACGTCTCCTACGTGTTCCATTCGCCCGTGGGCGTCGGCGGCTGGCAGCACTTCGATCTGCAGTCCGACATGAGGCTCACGTTCGTTTACGACACGGCCATCCTGTGGAAGGACGGCATCGGCAGTCCGCCCGAGGCTGAGCTGCAAGGTACACGAGTGCCCGGAGAGCATCAACAGAGGGAGCGATCGCTCCGCAGACATGCACACCCCCGTATAGCCACCTCCGTATACCACCTCCGATTAGCGGAGGTGGTATACATATACACACTGTTGGGACAAGTGCTGTTAGCGAGCACTTGAGAAGGCTAGAATGGTGCATGAGGTACCCATGTAAGGTTGAGTAAACCTACGGGAATTATTTAGATATTCATCACTGATATTGGCCGTGAGTGGGAATTTAACTCAGGTCGAAGGGTTTTGTAGCGAAGCGTGCTAAGCACTACACTGCTGGCTCCCTCAATGGCTCTACTTCGACGTATGGAGTCTGACTCACCCTTCAGTGACTCGTGCAGTCACATAGCTGGCAGGAAAGCTTTGATTCATTTACTTGCAGTCATAGGTTAAACGCAGTGATTAAAATATACAGTAACGTGACTCCATGTTCTATCAAGCGTTGGAGAAACGCTCATTGCTGTTCGTGGCCCGGAGTCACTCATTCCACTGTTCATTGCACATTTTCATGACGAGGCCTCTTGTGTCTACAGCACAATCACTGTTATCTTCCCACAGAGTGGCACTTATTTTACCGACCCTGGGAGGATGATGCGGAAATCTCGCAGAGCAGTGCTCCCCATTTGCCCATCATGTTGGAGAATGTCCCGTGCAGAACCGATCTTGCATCAAACTGTATTCCTTTCACAGGAGGGGGCTTACACCCTGCCAATAAATTATCATATGACAATCGACCCAAATGTTTTGCATTCAGAGAGCCTGAATTTTATCCACATCAGATTCAGTGTTATGGGGTTTTTTTTGTGAAGTCATTGGTGGCCGGGCTGAGGCCATCGAACTGTCAATTGGCGAGACTTGAGAAAACATTTTAATGACGAGCGGCCGCGCGGATTTGTGCCCAGGATCCCAACAGTGTGCGCTCGACACTCTCGGCCACCCGGCCATCTCCGCCCGACTCTGTGTTAATCACCCGAAGCGAGGGGCCACCCAGTCAGTGTGGCATCTCTGAAATTCCCATTTACCAAGTTTCACACATAGTGTTGCAGACTTGGAGAAACTTCGCCGGGTACATACGGCTTCATTATACATGTTATGCGCTAGCTGGGGGCCCCTTAAGTGGCTTCTGCCCGGGGCTCACGGAAAACTTAAGTCTCTTTGAGCCCCTTGACTCAACCCAGACTCCACTGCCGGTGGGTCGTTCAATGCATTTTTGAAATTGAATCTCCAAAGCAACTTATTTTGACAATAGCCCTTTGGGTCACACATGGGCTTGAGGAGTTTGGCCGATCACACTGCATTCTCTAAATGAAGTCACGGCATGGGTCCCTTTCGCCACTGTAAGCGCTGCATTGCGTTTAGATGCCGCGTCGGTTGCTGCATTATTGCCGCACATCGACGATGGTGGTTGTACTGTTTTTTTGGAATTCCTCTTTTTTCGTAATTTTCTCCCAAGTTTATCCCCATTGCCCTTTCAGCATCATGTCGGGAGATGAAGAATGCATTTGCATTGCTCACAGAGCAATGCTGAAAGAGCAATGCAACCCTTCACGTTAAAGAACTGACCACACATGTTAATATCACAGAGCTACTACTGAGATCCCTTAAACTGACCTCTGACCCACACAACACGGGACAGCTGTTTTCCACCCGCTCTGCATGTGAAAGTATTGTTCGTTGCATGACAGTGAAGGGCGATATTTGGGCTATCAGAGCTGGAATTTATTTAAATTAAGGGGTTTCAGCACTCTCTCCTGGGACATGCATCGACATTGTCTCGGTTATGATGACGGTTGCATTACAATCAAGGTGGTCGTCCCAACCGAAAACCAAACAATATCATATATACCACATTTCATCTGTACATTGTACTGTAATGTCCAATGCTAAATTGTATTCACTATGAATCGTAACGAGTAGCAAACGTTGCTCACGCTATATTAACTTTAGTGTCACACTCCATGGGAGTTCCATTAAGTGTTCACTGAGGATGGGGATATTTAATTGTTAAATGTTTAACACTAAACTTTAAAAATAATAATTTAGAACTGTAAAACCACCCATCTTGTGGTTCCAAATTTGAATTGTTGGTGTACAGATTTTACTGTATTTGCAATGTTCAACTTCATAGCTTTTTTAGAACATAATTACAATTTTCATTGGAGACTCAGACAATCACAGGCATTTCTATCCATTATATATTATAAATGCCACTAATAAATCAACAACAGCTGCACATTGATGGCTTGTTTATCATTTAGAGCAATACACTTAATTATTCGTGTCTACACAATTCACAACCTTACCTGACCTGATATTCTAATTGCATTCACGAAATAGTTATGATGTCCTGCTGTCTGTAATTAATTTTGGGAGAAGCAACGAGCTGCATCCTGTTGTGCATTCATAGTACCTCTAGAGAGTGGGTTGTTTTTATCCAGCACTGCAAAGCCATTGTCAACAAATCACAATTACTAGGGACGTTTTATTTTTTCTATCCCTGTGACTGCCCATTATATCAACATTTATCGTCTATGACTTGTGAAAAATGGCACATTTTCCACCTATCAAGTCCATTCCATTAAGGTTTGTTAATTAACATATTGTATTACATGCATTAATGAACCACATTCAATATTCATGCTGTAGCTTGAAGATAACTCAAACGTGAAGCAGACGTGTCAGTGCAATTGACCAAACATCCCAATGCAGGATCCTCCTGGGTAGGAGTCTTTAGACTCGGTGGCGTGATGTTAACTCCCTCGTCTGGTATGCAGGTCATGGGTACGATCCCGACCCTGACGCCTGTATATTTGAAGTTTGCATGTTCTCCCTGTGGTTGCTTGGATTTTTCTGTGGCTCCTCCAGTTTTTCCCTCCACATTTAGAAGTATTTGGCTGCTATGAATGTCCACGTGATGATAAGCCACTTTCGTTGAGCTATCATTTGTGGCCAGGTCTCTTCTGAAATTTTAAAAAATGTAGTTGAGTACTTTGGCCTACACTTCTATAGTAGCCAGACAGCTTGGGAGAAATGCGAGTGACCCACACTTTTTGCCCACGACACGCGAGCTGCCCATCGACTAACCGCGGCGTACTCAATTATACTACTGGGTGGCCAGAGGTGGGGGGAATTTCAAAATATTGCAACATTGTTTCAACTGCCGCGCCGGGAGATGGCACCGACGACCTGCGGATATCTAAAGAAAAAAAATCGTTCTGTATTTCACATGTGAACACGCGTGTCCGTGTGCTGTTCAGGCGCATTGTACCCTACAAGCATGCGCATCAATGGAGAGGGGCGACTTGTGGTGAACTTCCGCACCGAGGCACGATTCCGAGGCCAGTACGTGATGGCCCATCCAGGTAAACGCCTTCACAGAGTCAAAGCAAAGTAGGACAACGTCTGCCACACTGCAGCCTTCGCAAAGGGTGCACCGTGTCTACATTTACTTTGTGTCAGGGTGACTGCCTTCTGCTGGTCCTGTTGGGATCGTCCTCTTTTTGTGCTAGCTGTCCCCGGGGCATTACATCTCTGCTGGGTTTTGTCAGTAGCGTATAAATACATCATTCGGGGCAATGTGAGCACGTTCAGTTCTCCTCTATTCCCGTGTTGTTAGATATTCTTCTTCCCATGATATGCCCTGTTTTTTTTATACCTTCGTATGCACCTTAGAGGTGGCAACCCTACTTTGTATGTTTATTGTACTTTTGTTACAAGTAACTGTATAAAGACTGTCATGCATGCAAGTGCTATATAGCATACGGTGCAAGATGAGAGAGAATTGTTGTCAAGGTGAAACCAAATAAGCGCTGCCAATTCCACATTTCCATGGCAGGAGCCAGTTTTAACGATGATAAACCCACTGTTAATTGACTTCCCACGAAGCGGTACTCATTTTATTGCCCCCCGAGCGACGAGAGTCTGGGAAACCCGCAACTATGATGTCAACACACAGAAGATGTTGATGACGACGCCCTAAATCAGTGTAGCTCGACGGGATAACAGAATATGCATATACACGATATATATTGGTGTTTTAACATCTTAACAACTTGATTTAAAGCTTTCGTGACTGCAGGGATTCATATTCTTGGTTCTTTCGGTAAAGTCACATAGAAGGGAAACGTGACTTTACTGAAAGAACCAAGAATATATTAACACCTGCTTGTTGCCAGAAAAATGGGGAAAACCTATTCTCATATTTTGATACTGGCAAAGGAGGTCCCATGATGATATATATACACGTTGTAAGAATGTGTCTGCTTTACATTTGAAGCATCATTTATTCATTTATTTCCAACAAATTCCACCCAGGTACACCTCTGACGTCCATGGTGATGTCGGCGGACCACCCGGGCCTCACGTTCACACTGTCGCTGGTGCGGAGCGAGCCCTCCTACCACCAGCCCGAGCAGCAGTGGAGCTTCATCTCCGACTTCGCGGTGAGGGCAGCGCGGACGTACACGTGGGATAATCTGTCACGCTGCAGGCACGCGCGGATCTTCGCACTGGCGCGGCATTGCAGCAGGACCTTGCGGTCGTCATTGCCATAGGAGAGCGTGTGTCCTGCGGCTGTTTTTCCTTTTAGTTTACCGGAGTAAAGCAGGGACATTGCAAATCGGGAGAAAATATTGAAACACGGCTTCAACGGTATTTTGTGTGTGTGTGTGTGTGGGATGTTTTGTTCATTATGCACAAACATGTGTTTTTTTTTATTTGCATCGTGAATTTGTGAGTGGTCTCCTTGGTTCAGGGTTCCATGGATTTAAAATGGATACTAATTTTATCATCTCAAACCACAGCTGTAAATTATCTATAAACCATGTGCAATCTCATAACGGCTCAACAGGAAACTGCCCTTACAAAAAATGTCTAGGTCATTGGCGTTCAATGCCCACAAAGATTTTCGAAGATAGAACGCGTGTGAACACATCTACGAGCAACTTAAAAGCGCTCCCCGTTGCCATGTCACCATTGAGTTATCATTGTTGAATACACACATGATTTAAAAGTATAGATTTGTCATATTGAGCTCGTAACACAATGTATTCTTAGACTGCATGCCGAGAATACAAGTCACCTCTCATCGCGTCCCCATTATTTACCTTTTACCCTTTACAGAAGCGAAAAACACTCTCTCCGTGTCGACACTTTGGTGTCGTTTTTTTCTTCCGCCGGCGGCGCTCAGATGCCTCCGCTGTCAATTTTCCCCGAGGATTTTCTCGGGATTCCTTTGTGCGAAGGTGGCGTTTCGAGCCTCGACGGGCTCCCATCAGCTCACGGCCCAAACGGAGGAATCTCGTCCAATTGATGGGTCGGCTCGTTTTCGTCTCTGGCACAGGTGCGGGACTACTCCGGCACGTACACTGTCAAGCTGGTGCCGTGCACCTCGGCGCCAAGCCAGGAGTACAGCATCCCCATCATCTGCAACCCGCGCGAGCCGCTCACCTTCGACCTGGACATCCGCTTCCAGCAGGTGCGAGGCCAGTCACGTGACTAGCAACAGATGACTCGCGCGCGAACTCCCCTACCAACCACCATCATCACCCCGTCGCCTTAGTCAGAAATCCCTTTACCCTATTCACCGCTTTGTGACGCAAGCGTTTCCCGTATTTTAAAGAAAAAGTCGGGGGCGGGGGGGGGTGTCTTATATTCGGGTATGTGGCCTTCATTGTAATTCGTAGCCACTTTCACCGTTACACCTGTGACCAGATTTGAATAACTTTATTGGCACTGGCTAGTCAACAACTCTATTGCCATCAGACACACATGTCTTGGCCAGATTGTAAGATGCGCTTTATTTCCCTGGCATTCCCTCTATATTTATTTTGGTTATATTTTACGCTACTGTTTCCTGATTTCCAGGGAAGTTGCATTCTTTTAGAAAAAAAAATATTTTTAAATGTCTCCAAGTTTCGAGATGCCTTACTTTCCGGAGGGTCTTATAATCCAGAGAATATGGTCGCATTTGACGCGCAAATCCCAAAGGAGCGCCTAAAAAAAATCTAACTCTGCCCTGGCGTGCTTAGAGCTACAGTCTTAACAAAATGTCTTACCATAACAGTGGAGGCTGAGTTGTTATTACAGCAGAGGCTGCTTTTACTGCACTTTAAAAATGTAAGTTGAGATATTGCAATAGTTATTTCTGGCTGTGTTAATATTTAAATCATCATTTTATTTGTTGAAACTGTGCAGCTGAGTTGTGTTTTCTGTCCTGTAACTCTCCTCGTATGGCTTAAAGATGAGTTCTCATGAAGGCAAAATGCATCCATGTCCTACTTTGAACCTTCTAATGCCATTCCTGAAGGCCTGTTGGTCTAAATATTGCGCAGAATGTCTTCGGGAAAATATTAACATTTTACTTTTGTTCGAGTACACGTGTGGCTGTTTAACGAGGCTGATTAATTGACGTGCGTTTTGCAGGTCAGCGACCCCGTGGCAGCAGAGTTCAGCCTCAACACGCTCATGTTCCTCCTGTCGAAGAAGGCCCTCTGGATATCTGATGGCTCCATGGGTTTTGGAGAGGGCAGCGATGTGGCCTTCACTGAAGGTACTTAGCGGGGTCACGAGGATTTAAGTATTAGCAGTGACCACAACAGACCATGTATTCATTTGGGTTAGATCGCGTAAGTAAATATAAATGTGTTGTAAACCCACCACCACCCGACACAGCCAATTAGAAAGATTTGTCACGCAAACACAACGTGCCAATTAGTTACTATTTCAGCACACCAGTGTGTCAGAAAATAAACCCACAACATGCACAATTTGAGTACGACGTTTTGCTGCTGATTACAACCAGGTTCATCAGGCGATTTATGCGATCGACCCCCAAAAAAACATTATTGTATATTGGTCGCGAAAACCTAGGTGTTAAACAGAGCATATATTTGTGATATCCCTTTGAAAAATAAACGTTCTCATGTGCATGTACACCCTTTTTGTCTATCCACTGCTGAATGAGGGCCTCGCACCATGCAGGTCGTGGGGGTTTATTTGACCGTATTTCACCGCGCGGGTTGCGCATGGCTTGGTGAAGGCGGAAGCATAGACCCCCGTGAGCATAAGAGAAGAAAGTGACGACCCAGTGGTTGAGACTGATGACAGAGTGGCAGCCAAAGGAGCGAGCACGTGCCTTCGAGTATGGCCACCACAGAGACGGAGCAATGAAATCGCCTCGTCTGCAGGTGCCGGGTAGATTGTTTACACTGCGGCACTGAGAGAAGGCGATGGCTTGCGGAAAGGCTTTCGCCCAGGCATCGCTTTGATGAAGGCCGGCAGTGCTAGTTGAAAATGACGAATGGGATAATCACAACAGGCGTTTCCTTTTTCAGGTCGAAGCTCCTTCGCTTGACCCACCCAGCGCTGTCGCTTCACCCCCACAGGTGCCATAGTTTACGGCCGTGTCATGGTGGATCCTGTGCAAAACCTGGGGGACTCCTTCATCTGCAACATTGAGAAGGTGTTCCTGTGCACTGGTGCCGATGGATACGTGCCCAAGTACTTCCCCGAAAACCGGGAATATGGCTGCCTGGCTGATTCCCCTTCGCTTCTCTACCGCTTCAAGATTCTGGTACGGAATGTGGGGGCAATGATATATATTTATTATCACGGTTTTTGAACACAGTGCCCAAAGGTCCAAAATGATAAGCGGTCAACAACAAACAGCACCGTTGAAGGCATAAGAGATAAGAGTTAATCCCTCTGTTTATTTAAGCAAGGTTATAAGAACTTGAGTGAAGGAGATCATAGGAGGGAATTCCAAAGTGGGGTAGTGTGGCCGTCTGGAATGCTCTTCCTTCCGATATATGGAAACCACTGGAGCTGTGCACTTTCAAATCTAGATTGAAAGCTCATCTCTTTAGAACTGCTTGTTGTTGTGTTTAGTTTGTTGTCCTTCCCCCGCGCCTACGATTAGCACAGTTGGCTACGTACGGTGCGAAAGATCACCAATTGTGTGTGTGGATTACACATGTGGGACAATTCTTAACTCATTTAAATGAAAGATAGAATTGATATTGGAAGTGTCATTAATCATCAGTAATGGCTCAGATTTGAGTATTTTTTGATGAAAGTAATATGATTGGATGTTTTGCCACAAATTTGTTTTGCCACAAAAAATAGTTTACAAGTATGTGTGGTTAATGCAGACCTGGTGCATTGCAAAATATATCTATTTGATGTTTGAACATCTTAACACCTCTTTTATTGCCAAAAACGTAAAGCCTCTTTTTTTTTCATTATTTTGATACTGGCAAAAAAGGTCCCAGAGACACTGAATACACTGCTTCAAAATCCAGAGGCTGCCGATTCGATCTCCTGGCGCGGCAGTTTAAACAATGAACGCTTCTTGAATCTCGCACCTCTGTCCACCCAACAGTACAAATGGGTACACCGTAGGTAGTTAATCAGCAGGTCGTGTGTGGTGGGGTAAAGTGTGGCTACTCCCACCTCTTCCAAGGTGCCTGACCTGCGTGGAACACTCGGCAAAAACACCATCTAGAGATTTCATTCTAGCCGAGGCTCTTTCGGTAGCAGTGACTTGAGCAAGCAATTGCAGGCTTGCATGTTCTCCCCGTGGTCGCGTGGATTTTTCTCCAGGTCCTCCGGTGTTTCCCTCCACATTTAGAAACACGCGTTTAGAGTACGTGGCTGTTATAAATGTACACGTGACAATCCACTTCGTTCAGCTGTCATTTGTGATAGCAGGTCGCTTCTGAAAAAGAGCTGTATAGCTCAGTGGGCCTTACCTGGTAAAATAAAAAAAATAGTACAGATTTTTTTTTAAATCTGACTGTGATTGCTGGTGGTAGTGTTTTTTTCTCTTTTTTTTCTCTCTTAGGACAAAGCGCAGCCCGAGACACAGGCACACTCGTTCGGCAATGTGCCGTTCAACGCTCGCTTGGCTGCGGACGACCCCGAGGCCCTGCCCTTGGTGAGACAGCCCGGATCCGACGGCTTCCGAGTGGACTCTTCCCCTCTCTTCCAGGTCAGTGAGAGTTCATGCACGTGTGTGCAAAACGATAACTTGCTCGTGTGTGTGTGTGTATGCATGTAGCCTGGCACATAGTGGCGAATGACGGTTGTTGTTGCATGCTTAGAGTAGTTGGGGAAGGGTTGGGGCTGGATGTAGGCATACGCTAAGTAAGCTACAGCTTAGTTTGGCCTCACATTATAAGGGGGACTTCGAAGTGCAAAAAAATATTATACGAAGATTTAAGTTTTACGCAATCGGTTCAAAAATAAAGGAGATAGGGGACAAAAACACTCTAAAACGGTTGTTTTTATTCCAATATGACAAAAATATACAGGCAATCCTCGATGGGATCTCTTAAACTCTTTATAGCTTAGGGCCCCAGCATGTCATAATCCAGCCCTGGAAAGGGTATCGCAGTGTTCAATGAACCCAGTGTCCTGAGTTTGATTCCCGGCCACGGCTAACATTCATGACTGATATCAAAACCTCTCCCTACGTCGACACCAGGCTTAAATGAATTGCTTGTGTGGTGTGAATACCTACACTATCCACGAGTACTTCTCACCATTATTATCCATTCACTCCCTTTCCTTTATGGTCACACTTCCCTCTGCCCCTTTTCTTCCCCTTAACCTTGCAGTCGATCACATGGCAGAGTGATGCTGCTTTCTTTGAGCCACCATATCCAGCATGTGTAACAATTACATTTCCTTACCATCACTCGTTGGCCTCAATAAACCGAAGCAATGATTTAATGATGAAAAGTGTATTTGCCGGGCGCTCTTGTGTTTACGCGTGCCCTGCTCAGGTGACAGCGGGTCGCGAGTGGTACATCCACACCATTTACACGGTGCGGTCCCACGCCTCGTCCAACCGCGGCATCGGCAAGAGGAGCGTCGAGTACGCGCAGCACTCGCTCGTGGCCGCCGGCGCCGCCGCCGACGCCGCCGCTCAAGGGTCCGGCGCGATGCTCGCCGGCGGTTTCCCGCCGGCCGCGTCCCAGCAGCGGAGGCAGCGCAGGGACGCGGCCGGTGGCCACGACGCCCCGTCGCTGGTGCTCGACATCGGCGCGTCCAACAACCGCGGCACCAACATGCAGCACATCGTCCTCGACCGCTCGGGCCGGCGGGTCAACACGGAGCGAGGGGGCGCGCCCGCCGACGGCACCTTTGAGCTGGCGCCCTCGGAGCGCGAGCCGCCGGGCAACGTGACGCCGGTGGTGACCGTGCTCGCCGTGCTGGTGCTGGCCGTGTGCGTGCTGCTCACGGTCGTCCTGCTGATGCGGCGCCGGCGGCAGGGAAAGAAGGAGATGAAGAAGGAAGCAGTGGCCAATGGCAATGGAAGCAGCGAGCCCATGGTGCCCAAGCAGGCCTGTGGGGCGGCTGACAGCTCGGAAGTCTGAGTGTCATCAGCACGTCCGCCGACTGTGGCCCCCCCCCCACTCTCCCCGCTGCACTTTGTTTGGGTCGCTACGCTATACTTATAAGACTTTATCCACAGGTGATGGCTGGGTCTGATTTTTTTCTTCCCTCCTTTATTTTCGTTTGTAATATATATTGACAGTATTTTGATTCTGTTAAAAAAGATGTTACAAAACCATTGCAATATGCAATTTTCAGGAATATCTACCGTTTATTTTAATCGTGTCCTAAATAAATGACAAATACAACTCAGTTGCTGGAATCACGATTAAATGTGTAAATGAAAAAAAATGTAAGTGATCTTGCAAGCCAGACTATGGTAAAACTGAAGTAGCCATCACAAAGTGAAATAAGAAGTGGAGTTGAATAAATCTTTTTTTAAAAGCAAGCATTGAAAATGAAGCTTAAGTACTGCGCAAATTATTCTATTTTTTAAAACTGTACATGTCTGAGACCAGTACATTGTTATGTACCACATAGAAACAACGATATCAGAGTCATTACTGAAAACTTACACTTTTTTAAAATAAGATTCATTAAAAAAAGGATTGAATTTCTATAACCACAAGTAAACAAAATGTTTATACACATGGCTATTAACTGCAGAAAATGCATTGCCGCTAACTTGAACTTCACATGATGCGTATTTGCAGTCATGAGATCTTATGTCTTTTAAAACTGTGGAATTTAGAGGCAATCTTTCACGTGACCTGTAGGGGCTCTTTCTAAACCTTCCAAAACATTCACTTTCCTCTGGTTCTCTTTTCTTCATCTGAAAGGTGACAGCTAATAGTGTTTTGTTATGCAGTCCAAAGACTTTATTGCAAAAAATGTGCAAATCCATTTCTACAGAGAATTAAAAGTTAATGAGGCTAAATGCTTTTGGCTTATTTTCACATATTCTTTGTAATAATGACATGCTTGGACTAATTCATGACGAATTAGTACCTTTTGTTTTCGATAAATAGCTGGCAATTAGGGAGCCTTGTGCGTAGCTAATTAATAAGAAAAAATTATGTTTATGATTCTGACCCAAGTGAACATAAGCACTGCATTTGATTTCGTTTCAGTGTGAAACAGAGTTATGGCCGTGCCTTAATCTGAGGGATTTGTGATAATACTGTATTAATTACAGAGCAAAGCATGCTGCTTTATACCTAATACCCTGTGCTATTAACAAGTTAACAAATGGCTTACTGTTGAAACATTTTGAACAAGGGATAGACTGATGACATGCACCATCGGCTAATTAGTTCGCTTGATTAATGAAATACAATTTTTGGGTTTTTTACTAATTCATGTCGAGAGGCGTAAAGCATTGTCATTTATATGTGAATACACGTCGAAGCCATCCACAAATAAACTATACTATAAGGTTTCTGTTAATAATTAACAAAAAAACTTTAATCTACCCAAGGGAAATTTACGAATGCCATATCAAATCAACCATTCCACGGTCAACAAGCTGGTACTGTTCAAGTTTTCCATGAAACTAAACACGCATTTCTACTTTGAAAGGGCTCTTACAAATGTTCAGTCCATTTCTTCCTGGTGGCCTAATAGCCGTGCGTAGAATAGCATGACAAGGGTTAATCGGCGAGCGATGGTCGCATGCTCATCTGTCTATCCCCTCGACATTTGCATGGAAAGTTTAGAATATGTCGTCGTGCCCAACGCCACTAATCTCACCTGGAATAAAGCCTCGGCCCACATTCGCATCTTGACGAAAGAACTGAAACACATCGCTATGGCAAGTTTTTATTGTATTTTTGGCAGTGGAGACAATGATTGGCATGTTTTTTTTGCCAAACATCTGATAAAAAAAAGCATTTTTTTTCCAACATGTGAATCGGACCAGGCATCCAAAGGGAAGTTCCACCGTTGATGGAGGCCCCAAGTTATATGCAATTACAATTTGGATTTATAATCCATCCAAGTGGTGAAATGATTGGCAAGTTTGTGAAACATCCTCCACATTTGTTCGCCCAGCAGTATAAATGGGTACAGCACAGTCGATCGGCAGGTCGCTTGTGGTGGGCGAAAGTGTGGGGACTCCCACCGCTTCCAAGACACCTGGCCAGTTTGGCAGAGTAGGCCAAATACCTTCTAGAGGGGATCTCTCTCTCACGCTTCATGGAGGCATGGATAGACAAAAATTAAATAGATTTTCTATTTTTAAACGTATGACAGCTTCTAAAGCACTCGCAAAATGCTGAATAGGCATGCCAATATAATGTGCAGTGTGCTATACACGTATCATGTAGTTTGTATGTGCAGCATATGAGACCCCATTCATGGCCTTTTGCTATGGTCTCAAATATACTAAGGCTGCACCCGAACTTCAGATATCACAAATGAGGCACAAAGGGTGCAACGCTATTATTATTTAGTCATGCTTGGTGCTGGCCTTTGAAGGTGTGTTCACTTAAGTACTAAAATCACCTGCAGTACAACGTCACATATCCAATTCGCTGGGGACTGAGTTACAGGTCGGATGTGTAAAGAGGTCAGATAGGTGAACATCTGTTGGAATGGTCAGTTGCATCGTGCGCTAATAGGTTACTAGACCTAAAATGAAGCGCAGACTGCTTTAAACACGGAAGGATTCTTTGCTTCATACAAATGTACACGAGATGGTATGTGGAAAGGTCTGAGTTGTGAACGTCGATATGAAGTGACAGCTTCACCAGGCACATTTAAATGGTGCATTGGGTCTGGGCGGTTGCTTGGTCACGGTGGATATGCGATGGTCGGATATGCGACTTTGTACTGTATTTAATGCACTTGCTTAACATGACAACATATACTATTTGTCACCTAGATTTAATCTGACAATTTTTTTTTCCAACAAAAAAGCTTGAACATAGTAGAAAGCGTTACAATAACAACTGACCTTAGCTCTCTTTTTTTTACCTCACTGTTGTAAGTTTTTTATAAAACGAAAACTATACAATTGTTGCGATTCTAATGGTGCTATTTTAACATTGTCTAAGTGCCGTTTAGCCGCTGAATTGCATTGTTGTGAATTCCTGATAATTTCACATCAACCACATTGTTAAAATTTGTCTCCTAAAAATACTGTATTTTTAAACATGTCCATTTTATATTGGACTTTCGTGTCAATTCTTTTTGCTATTGTATATTATTATATTCTAATGTGGTATCTGGCTAATACAGTAATTATTAAAATGAAAAGAAAACATACTTTTGTTTTGTACTTAAACAGCAAAAAGGTATCCCTTGGTTATTCCTTTTAGATAACATTGGCTTGGGGTCGGTCTGTATACGGTTAAGTAACTGAAATTTTATCATGAAAATAAGAACTTTCTTTTTTATTTCGCTGCCCTTACTGGTACACATTTGCCAGTACAGTATTTGTTAATGTTTTAATATGTAAACACTGATGTGCAGTGCTGTGGACAACCACTTTTCAATAAAAGAGGCACATCCCAAGAGAATGTCAGTGCTGGTGTTTTTTTTTCTTTCTGTCAGTCAGTTTGCATTACGGCCTAAGCTTGAAATAAGTAATTCTTCATCAACCCCGCTTCATCCTAAACAAGTTTTGCAGCGTCAAGGTCAGGTATGTGCCAAGGATTAAAAGCAGACTTGCCAAGTCAATATACAACCTTGAGGTAATATGATGGCCAAATGATCTTCGGTATCTTTTTTGCACGGTTTTGGATATTGGAGTGTTCGCTTCCATTAAAATGCCAAGTGTGACATTTGCCCCGAGATGCAATAGAGTACGCACTGGATATTGCCAATGCGGAGATTTGAGAGATAGTGCTTTTATAGGTTGAGTAGATTTTTACAGTGATATAAATCTGCTCTGGTCTGCAGTCATTTAATGGGCATCATCAGTAGAATGGGTACATCAGTTAATGGAGCGTGTGGTGGAGTCAGGTGTGGACACTCTCACCTCTTCTAATGCCTGACCAGCATGGAAGAGTAGGCCAAATCACACTCTAGAACTCCTTGTGGATGCCCTCCTGCCAAGTGGTGTGAGCAAGTAGTTAGAGGGCTACAGCTTTGCTTTTACTTCACTTGGCATATCAAGGATTAAGCATTTCACCTATCTCGGCAAAGCCACGATTGCTCAGTCATATACCTTGAGCTCTTGCAGTGCTCTGGCATTGTGTAGGTGAAACACACGACAGAGAGATTTGCTTGGCTGAAGTATCCACTTACAGCAATACTCATCAACAGTTGTCCAGTTATTGGTAAGGGTGGCCCTCTAGGCTGGAAATGCCAAGGGCTTGGGTTGCAAGACACGTCACATGAGTGCACATGGATGGGACTTACAGCAGGCAAATCATTGATGAAGATGTTGACAATTGTCAGGACAATCAGAGGGGTTTCACAATCTGCAAGGGCTTGCAGTGTCTTTCATGGATACTCAGAAACGATGACACTGAAGGAGAAGCCCAATGTCTATTTCCGAGTGTGGCAGGACTTGGAACAACTTAGCAAGAGGCCTGCATGCCAGACTGCCATATGCCACTGTGAGGTCAAGGAAAAATGCACCTATCTTGATGGGGCATTGGAACCTATTTTCCACGTATCAGCACAAGAAGCTGAATACAGATGCCGTGGCCAAAATGGAAGCCCACCTGGTTGATGCTCAAGATACTTTTGACAGGAGATAAGATGTATTAACAGCACTAATCTCTGCAGTAACTGGAAACACAGTCCCAAGGAAGACAGAGGAGGCTGGTTGCCCACTATGACTTTTAAATCCTTCCTTGGCATCAAGAGCAATGGCTTTGACTCACCCCCAGAATGTATGCAGCCTACATTCTGACACAACACGGAGGATAATAACACAAAAAAACCCCGTGTTAACCGGTGCCAAGCACTGGGGTTCAGGCGTTTAAAACGTTTTGGAGATATATATATCACCTAAAGCCTCGTCAGGTGCCAGACATTAGGAGTGCTGAGTGCACTGAGTGGCAGTAAAGGGCCTAGAGGGAGGTTGCTGTTCCTCACCTCCCATACTATACCTCGAAAGACAAAGATCCTCGGTATAGCCTTAACAGACTGTAGTAGCAAGTGCTGTTCACGAGCACCTATGAAGGCCGGCACGGCCCACGAGGGGGTGGGTGGCCAACACAACGCCTGTCTCCCAAGCGGTGATATTTACACACCGCACCAGGTACTCATTTGAGGCTGAGTCGACCTAGGGGAGACCCAGGACCGGTTCAGATAATCATCACCGGTGTTGGCCATGAGTGGGAATCGTAGCGGAGCGCGCTAGCCGCTACACTACAACTTGCACCATACTCGGGGCTGATTAATTTGAAAACTTTTGGTGCTGTAGTGAAATAAACGTGTTTTGGTAAAACCACAGACTTTGTGAAAGTAATTCAAGAGACTGAGATCTGTCGGTACTAAAATGGGGGATATTGGAACTTGTGGTGTAGGAGACAAGGTCGCGTAATGTTTATAATCCACAGTGGAGATGCGATTCCCCCTCCCCCAAAAATGACATTTCCATCTTCTAGAGAAATAAAACCCCACTCTTAACATTGAGAACCTTGTCACTCCACTGCTGGATGAGGGCCCACTGCACGCACTGCGCCAGGATCTATTCAGATATCACTCGCCACTGATGTCAGCCGTAGCTCAGAATCGAGCGCTCAGGTCAGTCACACAGGACAGTAACATTATTAGCACGAGTTAATTTGTAAAACAAAATTAGCATTAAATTTAGATTTAAAGCTTTCGTGACTGCAAGGATTAATCTTCTTTGGTTCTTTCGGTAAGGTCACGTAAAATGAGACTAAAATAATAAAATAACACAATAAACAACACTGTTCAACACACCCGTGCTGGTGAGAGGGGCCTGCTGTTCATCACACCCGTGCTGGTGAGAGAGGCCTACTATTCATCACACCCGTGCTGGTGTGAGGGGCGTGCTGTTCATCACCCCCGTGTTGGTGAGAGAGGCCTGCTGTTCACTCCCATGCTGGTGAGAGAGGCCTACTGTTCATCACACCCGTGTTGGTGAGAGGGGCCTGCTGTTCACCAATCCCATGCTGGTGAGAGGGGCCTACTGTTCAACACACCAGTGCTGGTGAGAGAGTCCTGCTGTTCAGCACACCCGTGCTGGTGCGAAGATGGCGCTGATGATGGTAGCCTCAGCCGGTCGGTGCGCCCTGTTTTGTCTTGTTTTGTCTGTCAATTCAGTGTTTTGCCAAGATTTTCGGAGTTCTCTAACAAGAGACGAACTTTTAAATATCAGGGAAACAACTCCTGTGGATTTAATTCCTACTTTTCTGCTTCCAGCGGCAGAATTAGTAGACATTCTAGTCATTGCCGCGCTAGGCTTTGCTCAAGCAACGAAACGCCGCCCAAGGGGTAAACGGTCGGGGGCTCTAGTACGGCTACGCAGACGCGGGATCCGAACAGTGCTTCCGAGCTTTTTCCTCTCCAACGTACGTTCACTGTACAACAAAATGGATGAACTTCAGCTACTGATGGTAAAAAACAAAGACTTTCTTTCAGCTTCTGCATTGTGCTTCACGGAAACATGGCTGTGTGATTTGATTCCGGACACTTCGCTACAACTAGCAGGATTCCATCTTGTAAGATCGGATCGTGACATAGCACTCTCCGGCAAGACGAAAGGCGGTGGTATTTGTTTTTACATTAACAGTGGCTGGTGTGTAGATGTCACAGTGATTCTGCAACATTGTTCTCCACTCCTTGAATCAATTTTTATAACCTGTAAACCGTTTTACTCGCCTCGCGAGTTCGCGTCGCTCATTTTGGTCGGAGTTTATTTGCCGCCTTGTCCTCAGGTTAAAGAGGCCCAACGCATGCTCGCCGATCAGATTCTGAGTGTGGAGCGAGCAAATCCAGATTCGTTGGTTATCGTACTTGGCGACTTTAACAAAGGTAATCTCAGCCACGAACTCCCCAAATACATACAATTCATTAAATGCCCAACCAGAGAAGGGAACACTCTGGATCACTGTTACACTACAGTCAGTAGAGCCTACCACGCCGTCCCCCGAGCAGCACTAGGACACTCTGACCATGCCATGGTCCACCTGATTCCTGCATACAGGCAGAAACTAAAACTCTGTAAACCTGCTGTGAGGACATCTAAACAGTGGACCAGTGAGGCTGTGGAAGATTTGCGGGCGTGCTTAGACTGTACTGACTGGGATATGTTCACGACTGCTACCAATAGTCTGGATGAACTCACAGAGGCTGTGACGTCCTACATCAGCTTCTGTGAGGACTGCTGTATCCCAACACGTACCAGTGTGAACTTTAACAACAATAAGCCCTGGTTCTCAGCAAAGCTCAGAAGGTTGAGGTTGGAGAAGGAGGAAGCGTTTAGGAGTGGAGATAGAGACAGATTCAAGGAGTCGAAGAACAGGTTTAGCAAAGCGGTGAGAGAGGCTAAACGACTGTACTCAGAGAGACTAAAACACCAGTTCTCTACAAACGACGCTGCTTCTGTCTGGAGAGGGCTCAGGCAGATCACCAATTACAAACCCAGAGCCCCCCACACCACTAACGACTCCCGCCTAGCCAACGACCTGAACGAGTTCTACTGTAGATTTGAAAGACAATTGGACTGTCCTGAACCACCCCTTCCAACCCAAGAGGCCCCATCCCCCACCAATACTACAGAGACGACTATCTCCTTTCAGGAGGGAGAAGTTAATAGACTTTTCAAGAGGCAGAATCCACGCAAAGCAGCCGGGCCGGACTCTGTCTCTCCAGCCACCCTCAGGCACTGCGCTGACCAGCTGTCTCCGGTGTTCACCAACATCTTTAACACCTCCCTGGAGACATGCCATGTACCAGCCTGTCTCAAGTCCTCCACCATCATCCCTGTGCCCAAAAAGCTAAGGCCAACAGGACTAAATGATTACAGACCGGTCGCCCTTACATCTGTGGTAATGAAGTCTTTTGAGCGCCTGGTCCTGGCACACCTCAAAGCCATCACAGACCCTCTCCTGGACCCCCTTCAGTTTGCCTACAGAGCCAACAGGTCTGTGGACGATGCAGTTAACATGGCCCTCCACTTCACCCTACAGCATCTGGACGCCCCAGCATCCTACGCCAGGATCCTGTTTGTGGACTTCAGCTCTGCCTTCAACACCATCATCCCTGCCCTGCTTCAGGACAAGCTCTTCCAGCTGAACGTGCCATACACCACCTGTAAATGGATCACAGACTTCCTGTCTGACAGGAAGCAGTGCGTTAAGCTGGGAACACAAGTCTCTGGCTCCAGGTCCATCAGCACCGGAACTCCTCAGGGCTGCGTCCTTTCCCCTCTGCTCTTCTCCCTGTATACCAACAGCTGCACCTCCAATCATCTGTCCGTCAAACTATTGAAGTTTGCGGATGACACCACCCTCATTGGGCTGATCTCTGGTGGGGATGAGTCTGACTATAGGTGGGAAGCTGACAATCTGGTGACCTGGTGTAGCCAGAACAACTTAGAGCTAAATGCTCTAAAGACAGTTGAGATGGTTGTGGACTTCAGGAAGAATACAGCACCACTCACCCCCATCACCCTGTTAGACTCCCCAGTAAAAATTGTAGAGTCCTTCCGCTTCCTGGGCACTATTCTCTCCCGGGACCTCAAGTGGGAATTGAACATCAGCTCCCTCACCAAGAAAGCTCAACAGAGGATGTACTTTCTACGGCAGCTGAAGAAATTCAACCTGCCAAAGACAATGATGGTGCAATTCTATACAGCGATCATTGAATCCATCCTCACCTCCTCCATAACCGTCTGGTACGCTGCTGCCACTGCCAAGGACAAGAGCAGACTGCAGCGTATCATCCACACTGCTGAGAAGGTAATTGCCTGCAATCTACCGACCCTCGAGGACCTGCACACGACAAGGTCTATGAGGCGAGCGAGGAAGATTATGGCCGATTTCTCCCACCCTGGACACTCTCTGTTTCAGCTACTCCCCTCCGGCAGAAGGCTTCGGTCCATCAGGACCAAAACCTCACGCCATAAAAACAGTTTCTTCCCATCTGCTGCTGGCCTGTTAAACAAGGCCAAGGGCTAACACTGTTTTTAACATTTGATCTACATAACGACACGTTGCTGATATTAACTATGTTTCCCTATTTGTATTTTTTAATTATATCTTAAAGCTATTTTATATTCGATATTTATTTAATTTTATATACTTCAGCCCCTTAGTGTTAGACTTTTAACCCTTATTATAGTAAGACTTGTTTAAAACTTATTTAAGATTTTAGATTCCTATATGTTGAATGTATGCACCATCCTGCCAAAGTAAATTCCGTGTCGGTGTGAACTTACATGGCGAATAAAACCCTTTCTGATTCTGATTCTAAAATTCTCACGACGTTTCGGCCACAACGCAAGCGGCCGTCTTCAGGTGAAAGCTCTGTCGTCCCGACAGGTCTGTACCTTTCACCTGAAGACGGCCGCTTGCGTTGTGGCCGAAACGTCGTGAGAATTTTATTGTGTTATTTTATTATTTTATTCTCATTCTACGTGACCTTACCGAAAGAACCAAAGAAGATGAAAATTAGCATTATACTAGTGGACTGTGCAGCAAAAGCCACTGTATACAGGGTGATCTAGATTACCCCTAATTGTTTTATTTTCCATATACATTTATGTTTTAAATCAGAATCTGTATTTACAATGGAGGAATCCGATAAGCTATAAAGCTCTTTTTCACAGATGTCCAGCAAATACATTTTAAGACTTAAATGGGGGGGAGGGCGGTCACAAGACATCCGGACCACGTTCCACTACACATAAACTTCGTACGCTTACCCCACCACACACACACGCAACCCCAGCAGTGACCAGAGTGGTGAAGTATGGACGGACACAATTACATTCGAACGGCCACGCGCACGCGCCGGCGGCGGCAGCGTCAAATCGCCGCGGTCCCCTGACACTTTGACGAACGTGGCTCGTGCCGGGCTTGATTATTATTAGTGGAGGACACGTTGTGGTGTAGCAGACGGAGCGAGCGAGTTGCGAACGTGGTTTTTTTTTAAAGCGAGCGTCTGTCGGCAGGCGTTTTGCTCATCCCGCCTCTCTATTGTTTACACGCTTTTATTTAACCCGTAGTTGTACGGTCAAATCTTGCAACTCAATTTTAACCCACTTCCCAACGTGGTACCGACTGCAAACTTGGCACACGTACGTCACACTGATGACAATACTATATTCTATCAAAAAAAATATCGAAATTATATATTTCAAAACATTATTTTATTTAATGTTATGTTTCGGCTTGGGTCCTAATCGTCCACGCTCGAACTGACGTTGTGCTGTGAATGACCACGGCCCCTTAGGCTTCGGGCCCACTTCCTGGAGTCGCCGTGGGAGTTGTGACTGTACGAGGAGCACGGCACATTGGAAGCAGTTGGCGGTGACCCCCGGGGTGGAAAAAAAAACCGCGTAGCGACACACGAGCCTCGCCTTACCGACAACAAAGCTAGTGGTCAATAGATTGGCCTCGTCGAGAGCTACTCGGGGACACTTAAGTTTCGGAAAAAGTTGAAAAATTACGTAAACACGTTAAAATTCACCGACTTGAGGCGGCGGTGGGGGGCGGCGGTGAGGCTCGCCTTGGCAAAGAAGCTGAGGATCGACGGCTGACCGGAGGGCGGCGGACGCCCCCCGGGGCTCGCGTTTGCCCGGTGGGGGTGGCGCCCGTCGTGTCGATCGCCGCCTGCTGCTGCTGGCGCTTGTTGGCGGTAGTCTGGTGCGGGCGGGGATCACGTAGTGGGGCGGACTGAAAAATAATAATTATTGACCTGATTTTTAGCGGGACCCCGGGCTCCCGCCAAATGATTCATTTCATTAAAGCGTGTTTTTTTTAATTTAAAAAAAGTATTTTAAATATTACTTATTTGTCGACGGACAACATTCCGTCGCCCGGTTAACGTTCTCCGCCGTGATGGAGGCCTTGTCCGCCGCTTGCCTCGAGCGGCGGGTCCACGTCGTGGAGTTTGACGTTCGCTTTCGAGGCACCATTAAGTGCATCGATCCGACGAACAAGACGCTGACTCTCGACAAAGTCGAAGGTAAAGTTTGTGTTACCGCCGCCGCATCTCAAGGACATTAAACGCAATTGCCTCGGCCTTCTATCGTTATTATTATTAAAACGTAAGCGGTTGTGTAAAGTCGACCCCGATGAGCGGCCCGCGACAGAAAGTTAAAAAAAACACATCGCGCACGTGGTCGCTACTCGTCGTCGTCTTTTTTTTATTTGAACTTTAAAGTAACGGCAAGACCGCTCCGTACGTGTGGAGAACGTGCTGGATGTTTGATCTGGCGACGTATGCCGTCGTTTAATAGTGGTGTTTGGTTGCGCTTCGAGCGGGGATTATTTTTTAAACGCGTTCACAAAATTTTAATGATGCCTGTGATGAGATCTTCCCACTACTTAATCACATTCCTTCCTAGTGCATAATTTAACAAGATCAAAGCCCCCCTCCGCCCGCCACCACCAAAGCTTTGATGAATTTTTTTTAAAAATAGTCACTTTGGATGTGTGTAATATTTGCCAGTGATCATCGGCGATGCTCAAATGGCATTACCTGGGCTGAAAATGCTGGATGGACAAGGGATATCTGCAAGTAAGTCTGCATAGGATTTTCTGAACCTTTCTAAGATACCACAGTGCTACCAAGATGACTGAAACAGATGTTTAAAACCTCACGCAGTCCCAAACGAATTATTGGGGAATTTAAATATGGTCACGAATGTAATGACTCGGTAATTGGGTCAACTAAATGGGAATGTAAAGTGTTACTATATAATCTAATAACTCTTTTTGTTAGATATACAGAACTCCAAATAGTAATAATGAATAATGTTTAGCCTTTTGTCAATCCTCTTATGGAGAAACGCCTCACTGAGCATGCCTTGTGATGATGTTTGACCATTATTCACCATATTTGTCAGTGTGCGTAAATAGGATGAATTTATTCTGGCTTAATGTTAACCATGATTTCATACGGATAATTATCGGACAAATTACAATTGCTTGGGTCATATCGACAGATAATAGTACACATTTGCTAAAAACTGCTGGATTTGTACCTCAATTCTACTCTCATTTCATAGCTAATAGGAATGTGGCACTCGTGACGACCGCTTCCAATTTCCTTGATGTCTTTATTTAGCGTGTGCATTTGTGCCGAGCCAAATGGAGCAAGTAGCTCCATTTGCAGAATGCAAGTGTCCTTAAAAACCGCTGCCAAGTGGACATAGTGCGTCATCGTCAGTCTGGCTTGCACCACCCCAGCCAAAGGGCCCAACCCTGTTGGCAGGGTCTTGCTGCATGCACACACAGAGGGACGGAGGCCTTTGGGCCAATTCAGGACCTGTTGAGCAGAGCCTTTTCACGGCGCCGAAGATATCAAAACCCAGGCAGGCAGATCGTCGGTATGGAGTCGTCCACTCGATGACGATCTGTGCCACTCCTCGCGCCACAGAGAGACTTCTGCTGACACGTGGCAGTGTGGGTGCCCTTGATGACAGACGGGCGGCAGGCGGGCTTGCCATGGGAGAACGCCATCGTCTCTAGTTATTGTCACCATTTTGCCATACCGTCCGGATGAGGATGGGCCAACCTGCTTCTCCCATCAAACTCTGGGTGAGCGTGTCAGGTTTGATACGTTTTACTGTACTGTAGCATTCCTGTCAACCCCTTGTCAGTGCCTACCAGTGCCCTACCTTATTACAGACCAATTCAGACCGTATTGGTTAACCCGTGCCCCTTATAAATCTCAACGTTCCTCCTACAAAGTCCCATTACAAGGGAGAAACAGACACAATTTGTTGTTGCCCGCATTGAAACGGCTGTACGCCATATGGACCTGAAAACTCAATTTTCCTGTACAAGAATACGGGGTAAACCGTATGGGTTGACAAATGTGTTGTAGCGAGGTGGGGGAGCTGGATGGCTTGTTGGTACAGTACAGTATTTTTGCCCACTGTAAAGTTCACCACTGCTGCAACCGGTTTGTGTTTTTTTTTCTTCCACAAACAGTGCAGGTTATAGAACATTAACTCTCGACACATTTACTGCAATACAATTAACAGCGGTGTAATGCAGACTCGAGACGATGACGCACGCGAGTTTGTACAGGACAGGCCTATAATGTATGAATAAACATGCCATTTGTGTTGATCTTATTTTCAGTTACTTTTCTGGATGAAAATCCGGCGAAAGCCTGCAGACGGTAGGAAATGCCGTGTTAATTCCATCGTATTGTGACCATTTGATCAAAGGGAAAACAAACATTGAACTCCAGCACACCCTTGTCTTCTTAGTAATAATTGTTTACATACATTTATTTAATTACCCATGTGTGCTCGATGAGTAGGCAAGGAGCTGAGAAAGCTGATGCTTCAAGTGGAAATGTCAAGCCTGACAGATATTGTAATAGAATTCCAGGTGAGAGATTCGTTTAGCATTGAGTCAGACATTTAGTGATCGCATCTAACAAGAATGAGTGTCATGATTTTTGTTGTCATTACAATGCCTGAATATATGTATCATTTTGGTCAACACATCCGTAGAACTGATTCAAACATCACTGGCTACTGGTCTTGGCCATGGGCAGAAATCGAGCGTGAACCATTGTGACTCTGCTCGACCTCATTGTAATATTAACTGAATTCCAGGCCAGTGTAAAAGTTTTAATTATGTAGTCCGCGGTGTGTACAGTAGACTTCGGTTTAAAGATGGTCGGTTATTATTAGAGCTTTGCTTATGATGTTTTAAGTAATACATTACCGATTATCAGTTCAATTACTTGACTCATGGAATAACATAATTACTTGGCAATAACATTTACATGTTTGCTACCGGAAGGGAAGAATTGGGTAAAACTTTGTACCGTTGTCCTCATCATCTATGTCACGCTGGGTGTGGCGTGTAGGGGGTTTCCTGCTTTCAAAAGGCAGAATGGGGCATGCTCGAGTAATCGACCCCCCCCCCCAAAAAGTAGGGTAGTGTATGATAATCTTTCATCAATTAATAATGTTAATTGATGACTCATCCTACTTCTCGTCACAACCGGTTTGCAGTTCAGTTGGCCACACCTTGTGAACGGGCCAGTATGATGACCCCACTGCTCATTTAGTATGGGCCTAGTGTGCATTCAATGAATCGCATTATTTTGCCCTTGTGTTTAATTTTGGATTTCTGCTGGCCAATTTTATGTGCCTTCCACAACTCCCTTGAGACAATATACCAACTAAATTGCAGTAATCTTCAGTTAAAACGAGCATTGTAAAAAAACGGCCTTGATTGTAATAGCAATTTCTCTGTTATATTCGTGGTTCTTTCGGTAAAGTCACCACGTAGAAGGGAAACAATAAAATAATTAAAAAATATAAAACAATAAAATTCTCACGACGTTTCGACTGCAACACAAGCAATCATCATCAGGTGTGAAAACCACAACAAGAAAATGTGAAAAAAGTGGCGTTTATTTTTAACGTTACCGAAAGAACCAAGAATATGAATTCCCTGCAGTCACGAAAGCTTTAAATCAAAATTTGCTCTGTTATAGTTTATTGTAAACCGTTGGTGTGCTGAGACTGTATTGTTTTTTTAAGGTGTATTTGTTTTAACCACGATTCTTTCTCCCCCAATGTATGTCAGGGAAAATTGTGAACTACATCTTAATTGACAAATTTCAAGAGAAGTTTGGATCAGCTGTAAGTCGCATGAGCTGCTTTTGTTTTACTGCAAGTGATGTTTCATTAATAGATAGTTGTACAAACTTTTTTGAAGTACATACAGTACAACTTTATAAAAAATGGCAATTCCATTGGTGTGATCTTTGTTTTAAAAAAAAAATTCTGCGGAGTTAATCAGACTTTAATGAAAAGTATGATTTGTATTTGAAATCTAACACAGTTACTTGCACATATCAGTATCATCTCACTCTTACAGCTGATAACCTCGTAAATCAGATTTCTGACATGGGTTTATGCAGCTCTTAAACATTAGCAAGTTTTCATGACAAATTATTAATGCACATGTAGACATATCCGAAATAATAGGTATTTTCATTTGTGGTGTATACATACTAATTGCATTTTATTGATTTAAATTAGTGCACTTTAATAATATTTTGGAGAACATGCATGTGAACGCAGTAACGGGTAAACCCATGTACATTGTGGTTGGTGTTTGGTTCGATGAAATTACACCCAATGTCCCCATTTTGTGCTCGTCACACGTAACACATCAATATGTTAATGTGTCATCTTCCACCTATTATTCCTGCACCTCCGATTAGCAAAGATACAAATTAAACCCTTCCTGTTTCTGCAATGCCAGTACCTGTCAAGTGTTTATGCACCACCTTTTAACGTGTGACGTGCTTTGTTTTTCGCATTGCTTCATTTCAGATCCAGAACCTGAGTGAGTCATCTGTGATTAGCCTTGAGCTAAATGGAATTAACATTTCCAGATTTGGAAAGCTGTGCTGGCTTCAGGTTGGTAATGTTTCTGCTTGAGCTTTATTTGCATGATGTTCTGCTTTGAACGAGTCCCAAAATAACAAACTTGTTAACGTTGGCGAATCACTTCTGTACACAGGTGTCCACAAAGGAGACAGTTTACCTCTTTGACATCTTGACTCTCGGTTACGAAGCATTCGATTTTGGCCTGCGAAGAATTTTGGAAAATGAGGCAATTTTAAAGGTACGCTTCAAGATTGTCCGTGGGACATTTAAGTTGAGAAATCTGCAACACTTAATCTTCATTGCTTATGCCATACATGCAAAATATCACAATCTTTGCTTTCATTGCCATAGTTAAAATATGTATATTCCATTTTACATACACTCCCTGGCCTGCTCACCCCATTGGAGCACGTACTTATCTGCAGATATGGAATAATTTTAAACGTTCAAGAGTCACAAAATACCTAATCTCAAAACTGAATCAAATTTCAGACTATATCAATGGTTTGTGTTCTGAGCAGGAACATATTTCCAAGTACGAACACATAAATAAAGAAATATTATTTGGTTTTTGGACACTTTTACCCCCTGTATTTTAATATGAAATTTAGGGTGCATCTCATAATCAGGTAGTAGGTGTGTATATGTGACCAGCTTTATATACAGTAAACCCTTAATATTAACGGATTTTATAATCACGGTTTAGCTTATTCGCGATAAATTTTATTGACTTGCTGTTTTACTTGTATTATATTCGCGGCCGTAGCAGGCTACTACCCGACAAGAAGTAGTGACATGGGAGTGGCGTATATTATGAGACTGCAAAAGTTGCCCATGTGACAATCTCCCTCAGTCTGCCTTTGTCTGCCGCACTGTTTGCACGCGAGTGCTTTTCTTCACATTTTTGGGGATTTACGTTCTATAGAATAGCTATTTATTGACATTTGCACTTTAAAATGTTTATATTCATCATTATTTATTGTAACTTAAATAACACTATGTACTATACAATATATGTATTCCTTAATATTTACATAGGTTGTATGTTTAAACACAATATATGTGTATGTCTCCTAACCATATTTTCCTCAAGCCTTCATTATTAATATTTGTGGATTTAGTGTTTGCTGTGTTCTCCAGGAGCGTATCCCCCACGAATATTAGGGGTTTATTGTAACTTTATTGATGCCATGCACAACTTTGGTGTGCACCTTATTTTCCTGAATGTCTTGTAATCTGGAGAATATGATATGTCTGAATTTCACTGTGGATCATTTTCTTTTAACTAATTCTCATTCTTAATATATAGCTTAGACTCCCTTTGGATTCGAGTTGGTTCATGATATTTTCTAGGTTAACTGCGTTCATTAAATTATATTGAAAAATTCATGTGATTATTAAATGATTGGGTATCTTTTCTCCATGATACTGCTGATAAAAATATAATTATCCATTTAAGAGGACATCATGATTTGATATGGCATGTTATATTACGATATCTGAAAAGCTATTCCTCTTAATATTCGTTGACACGGTAAAGTAATTACTGTACCTAAGATTTGTCATGCATCATTTTTTTATAACTGCCATGTGGTGTGCTGTAAGCATGTTTATATCCAGCCATTTCAGCATGACCTACTTTGAGCTAAGAGATGTCCCTCTTATGCTGGTAATGATTTTGCTCTCCCTTCTCCATTTCCTGCACTTCAGTCATTCTAACACGAGGTTATATTTTTGGTCTGTATTATCTGGCTCTATTTTCCCAAAGCCAGCCATTAACGGCATTTCAATGATCGATCACTCGGGTTTCACATTAAACCTGTTAGCTCATCAAGTCTGACTTAAGGTTAATCCCTGGGATCGATATGAATTTAAACAGACATGTTAGAGTATGCAAATGTGTAATATAATGTGGGCATATGGCATACAAAATAAAAACATAGACTTACACTACAACATGATTTGCTTTTATGGTGTGTCTAAAGTAATGGCAACATTTGTATTTTCAGGTGGTTCATGACTGCAGATTTTTGTCTGACTGTCTTTACCACCAGTACAAAACATCACTGGCCAATGTCTTTGACACACAGGTGAGTCATTTTACATATGTAATCGATAATGCTAATCTTTTCAACAAGTTGGTAAAAATTAGAACAAAGTACATTGGGTATAATGATTTTCATTTTGTCTTGATAATTAATGAATGCAAATGGAAATACATTTTAAGATTAGTATCTTGTTTTACTGGAAAAAAACATTACATTACACCTGTTGGTAAACACTGCTGTTACACGTGTTGCATATTTTCTGAATGAGGCCATGTAATATAGATTTTGTGTCAGTTGGGTCATTGCAAAGCATCGGCATGCAAGCAAAATAACATAACGCTGCGTTTTACAAATTAATATTGCATGCTGTGATGAAATACCGTACGGGTGACATTGCTTCGATTAATAAAAATTACACCAAAATAGGTCTCCCTCTACTTACTTGAATATGCAGATCATGTTGGTTGTGTTCTGCTTGTCTTTTGAAAGGGATTGTGGCTTTGCTATCTTTGTGAGTAGATTGCAGATGTCATCGTGCGCAAGGAGGAAGCCGGTGGCAAGTGGCCTGACAAATTGAGGCTTCTGCCCGAGTGTTTGTCTCACCATCTCGGACTTCCAGCTGCTGCCTTCCAGAAATACAGTGTGGTAAGGGCAAGAATACCACCAACGCATTTGTATTGTGACAGAAGTGAAATGCATGCTGTAAATATAATGGCGGTGGCTCGGTTAAACCTTTGAACGAATCATTTGAAATCTTGTCATATCTTGGAAGCGAAGTAGGCTTGAACCTGGATAGTATTTGGATGGGCAACCCCCCCCCCCCCCCATGCTCTCTACCTTCATTAACTTGCACTGAGCAGCATTGTGAAATATGGTCAAATAATCCACAAGACCCCACGCGGTGTGGGGAGATCTTCACCAAGCTGTTGATGCAGTAATCTATGGAGGATAAACTATGAAGGGGACAGAGTCTGAAGTAACTTTTGGTTTCCACAAGTCCTTCAAAACATCATCTATAACCCCACTAAAGCTTTGTTTGGTAGGTCATGTCTCAACAAGGAGGTTTTAGCCCCTCAAAGTTATGGCCATGTTTGACGTTCATCCTGAAGCCATTTTGTGGGGTCAACACATCGGTCGAGGAGGTAGAGGGCTGCAGAGCTGCATACAAAAAGCCAACTACATTATGAACAAGCTCTAGCAATGTCTACTCCTTTAGAAGGAACAATAACTCGAATTGCTTAATGTTTTTGGAAATTTGGCATATTTTAAGGCCCCCAGCATCACATTAATACCAAAGCTCTGATGCTTATTTTTGCAAGAATTGTACAGAAGCCCAAACAGCCTATCTGTTTCACAAGTATTTATTGGCCTACTGTAATTCTAAATACCATTTAATATCCTTAGCATCACTCCAAATTGAGACACTTCCAAGTTTGTGTTCCTACCCCCCTCTACTAAAGGAGATGTAGCGCAGTAAATATTGGATCACTGAGCTTAAATAATTGACCTTGTTTCATACCTTATCTGTATCTTCCACCCCACATTATAAGCCACGTCTAAATCTTTAAGTGGGAACTTGTGGTTGAGTTGACATGGAAAGACCCATTACCGAAATGGATTATGTTATTGCAAGACTGCGAGGGATGGCAATGATGTGAGACAGCCTCCATCGATACGGTAATATATCTGATAGAATCATTTCAGGTTAAAATCGTAAACATGACAATTACATACTGTACTGGACAGGTGAATATTTTTACAGCCTTGTCCCACGTGGTTAAGTTGTGTGGCTTATCCCATAGATGGCAGTGTTGTTCTGCTGTTTGTGTGCGTGGTATCTGTGTCTAAATGTTAATGCACATGGTTCAATTTATACAGTGTAATGTTCAAAAAGGTTTGCAGATGTCAAACAACGAAATCCGCCATTCAAATATGGAAATATTCGACCAAAATTTTTTTCTAGTCAGTTACGCTCGTGATCTCTAAATGTTTTTGACAATAAATTGGCAACAATAGCGGTACGTTGAGGCATCTTGTTTTTTTTACACGTTGACATTTGAAGAAAGAAACCAGCCCTTTCTCAGCCCTTTTTTGGCTCCCGAATGCACTCATCCTTTGACAATATTGAAAGTCACAAGACTATCCATACCTGCAGTCTCCCTCCATTGGGAAATGGATTATTTTTATGCCGAATATCGCTCTGTGTTGCACACGGTGAATACACATTGCAGAGGTTGCAACAGTGCTGTTAATGTAAATGCTTGTGTTTTGTTTTGTCATAAGGATGATGTAATTTTATATCCGAAGATTAAGTTTAAACCTCGTTCAACAAAGTGTACATTTAATCAAGGTCTGCGGTTTTTCAAAACGGAATGTGATTTCACGATGCGTTTTTATATAATATCCCGTGTCAAACTGTAATTTAAATATGTACGTAGTGTATTGCAAATTAACATTCATATGCGTTTCAGAGAATAATTTAGGAGTGAATGGGGCAACAGAAATAGCTAATGACTTGTAGAAGCACAATTTGAATTTGTTTAATGATTTGCATGAACGAGTAAAAGAAGTCGAGAAGTCGGGATCTGTGGCACAGTGGTTAAAACAGTGCCATATGAACCCGACTGCTTGATTTGGATTTCCTGCCACAGCTATCATCATTGGCGAGCGATATCTAAACCGGTACAGGGCTCCCCTTCACTTTACCCCAATCTGCATGGATCAGCGTGCAGATGTGTGGTCAAACATCCCCCTTGATTAACACGGCTTGGAGAGGCCTTTATCTCGTAATGGGTCGACAACGGGCTGTATTAATATATTATTTCATCGTAAAGAGGAAAAATACTTTGAATGAAAGGCATACAGAATGACTCACCTTGTTATTTAAGAGTGAAAAGGGATGTGTACATCAATTTTTGTGCCTTTCAGTATACACACACACGGCCAAGCCTCATTAACACACAGAATCCTAATAACTTTAGTTTTTTTCTGTCTCGCTGTATATTTGTCGCTTTTAGTGACAATTCCACTTTATTGGCAACGAGTGCTAGACCAGCGCACCGTCTTCCAATATGCTTCTTAAGACATGTGTATCATGTGCCGTCCATTTCTCATTCACATTTTGAGTCCAATGTGTGCAGCAACAGATTTGCGCAAAGCTTCGTGCGAGGCTGCATGTTTCAGACAGCAAAGCTCTGTAGTGACTCATTCCTCCGCTGCCGCTTGACTTGCATGAAGCGCGTGAACGCTATGACTACTGCAATTGACATCCAGGGACCCATAAACAATACTAGAGTGCGTCTTGCGCAATGTTGATTTTAAAGTCTCGTTTTTAAACATGTAATGTTGAGCGTATACGTTTCATAGGATTTACGTTTTAGTTCCATTATCTCTTGATGAGTTCACGTGGATTTGTAGTTATTTGTATCATTAGTTAAGAGAGAAATAAATATATGCAAACACGCTCGCTGAAAACCAGTCCTTGCGCGGTGTAATGGACACGCTAAATAATGCATCCCCTATACGGCATGCACAGAGCGCATGGAGCTCTGCAACAAAAGTGTGTGTTTTTGGTGCATTTGTATATTTGCCCCCAAGATGCTGAATGGCAGCTGCGCCGTGTAAACATTGCATGCTTTTCTGCTGTATTGCTGGACACTCGCGGAGGCTTTTGCAGCCTTGGCTTTTCAGCTGGTGGACCTTTAGAGGCAGCCAATCTCAAACAGAGCAGCCCAGGGGGGGGGGGGGCGGCGGGGGGGGGGGGGGGGGTGAATTTGACTGCTCGGCTCCCGTCAACCCCCATTGCCGCAGTGGCAGAACCGAAGTTTAATTTATTTCCTTTATTATTATAGATCCATTATGCCACTCCGAGATTCCCCCGCAAGCATTAGTGTGCTCGGGGGAAGACTGCTTCCCCACAAAATTAACGATGGCGACAAGGGCCGTCGGGCTAATAAATGTTTTTAGAAATCCTACTGATCATACGAGGAAACAATATCTGGCATCCTGCAGAGCTTTGATTAGGGGATATCTCTTTGATGCAGGAATGTTATTGAAGCGTACACAAGAGCAGTTTGCAAAAATAATATAAGTTATTCAGTAGCCTTACCCTTTATGTGACATTTTAAAAATGTAATTACGTTAAACAGTTGCATTACATTTTCATGATGACTCGTCAAAGTAAATGTCCTTGGTTGGATAGTTCAAAGTCAAAAGCAAATATGATGAGTGGTCAGAAATGTTTGAGTAAGGCATTTTAAAAATACATAGCCTCACAATGATTTCATCTCTTTTTTAGTGATGGAAACCCTAATTTAAATGCACGTATGGTTTCTAATATGCAGGCATAAAACCGTAAGCTATCTGTGAACCCATCGTAAGTATGCACTTAAGTTCCTATGACCATAAAGGACCTGGTCATGGCGGGCATTTGCAAGCTTTACGTTTATAAAAAAAAATCCATTCAAAGTTAACCTCGATATAGAGTTTGTGTGCCCTCGTAAATAGTTAATGCAGTTGATGCTGATAAACCTCCTCGCCCTTTATAAAGGATGCATTGAACTCCACCCTGATTCGCCATCAGTCGGTGTCTATCTTGAAAGTTCGAATGCCAAATGTTGGTCCAAGGCATTAATAGAATTATTGGTCATTTTTCACGCAACTCGCATCAATTCTAATGGCCACACTTGATACGCGCGCCCTATAAGCACCCCTACCCACTCATTTGGCTGATCAAGGTGATGCCGATCATTTCACATTGAATGAATGAATGACTGTGAGTGAACCTGCCCTTGTCTGATGAATGAACACTTTGCTTACCTATTATCTAGAACCAGCCAACCATTACATATCATGCTTTTTTGTATATGGCATCATCGGTATCTCTTGTGCGGTGCAGGCCTGCGTTTGATTTCTTGTTTAAATGAAGTAAGTGTACCGTTCCCATTATATATGGTGCGCATTTCCACAAATAAACAATGTGTGTATTTCCACATGCAGAAAGTGGCTGAGCGGCAGAGGGAGGAATAGGCAATTGAAATGTATCTTTATGGGACAACAAAGCACATAAACCATTACCAAGGCTGCTGGAATCACATTGCCCCAGGGGTAGTATGTTGACAACTGTCTACCTGTTCATTATCGTGGCAGTGCCTGGCTCGTAATTATTGCGAGTGGGTTATTGTTCTATGTTGAGTTGACTGTACTTCATTTGTGACGAGTACGAATGCACGTGTATACGTGAGCAGCAATAAAAAAATATAAACAATGAAATTCAGGACTGCACCTGGAAAAGTTACTTACCGAATATTGGTCTCGTAAAATATATGGTCAATTAAAGTGATAACACATTGTGACTCAATGTAAACAAATTCCCTCCAGAGAGAGTTTAAAACTGACATGAATTTACCCATAAAATAATTAGCACTTATTTAGGTGCCTTTCAAATTTGTCTCATGGCGCTATGCACGAAAGGACTGATAATATACGAATAGGTTAAATTATGTTTCAGTCATTGACTTAGGGGCCGTCCATAAATGACGTCACGCACCTAGGGGAGGGGGGGGTCAGACATTTGTGACGATGTGTGACAAGGGGGGGGGTTTGAGAAATGTGACGTCACATCAAAATGCGCAACTTTAAATAAATATAGACAACACGTTCTACTTCATTAAATAGACTTTTTAATAAATGTTTTCTCCTACAACATCAGAGTGCAGCGGCGCATTAAATACGCACTACAATGACAATAGTTTAAAGCGATTTTAAGCATGTTTTATTTTGGGGGGGGGGGGGGGGCAGAGCTTTGTGACGTCATATTTGAGGGGGGTCTGACTTTGTGACGCCGTGTGATGAAGGGAGGTTGTCAAGAATCATCCAAAATCGCGTGACGTCATTTATGGGCGGCCCCTTAACTAAAACATGATTCCATGATGGTACATTGTACAGACCTTTATCTATACACTGCTGAATGAAGGCCTCCCAATGCTTTTCAGTCATGGGGGTTTAACCATACTTCACAATGCTGGTCAGCATCCGTTAGTGTAGACGGTGCCTCGAACTGGTTCATATATCGCTTGACACTGGTGTCACCTGCGGCCTGGAATGAAACTCGGGATACCTTGTTCAGTGTGCTAACCACTGCACATGAAATCGCGTCAGTAATAAGAACATAGATCATGAAACACAATCACCATGGTTGTTTGCGACACTGAGGAGGATAACATCCCAATCCCTAATTAAACAGATGGACGCAAATATTAACCGCCATGAGTAAACTATCCGCTGGCAATTTATAGCTGCATCCTTGGGGACTTTAATCTAATATAGCATATTGCGTTGTACAAAATACTTAATGAATATATTACAGTCAGCGCAGGCCATGCAAAACCATTTGACGATGCCTGCGTGCATGTTTTTATTTGCCCATTGCGTGAATTTTTGTTAATTTATGGGATCCTTTTTTCCAATATCAAGATTAAAAAAAAGAATATGGTTTATCCTCTCCGGCAAGTGGATAAAGCCTATTCATTTTCCCAGAATCTTTGTTATTCGGGCTCTGCAATCATCTGTTATTGTTTCACTGGGTGCACTCTTAAATGCATTTTGCCTGTTATTTAAATGAAAACAATAAACAAACTATGCTCTCTGTGGCTCTTGCTTGCATTCTACACAGACTCACTGTGCCCCTCTGGGCACTAGATACAGCACTGGCCAGTGCTTTGTTATTGTGTGCCACTGGCATGTGGAAGGGGGTACTGTGTGATAAGCAGTGTACGTGCACATTAAAGCATGTCCCACACTTATGAGCACTGCTGGTGGTGTGGCCAGATCACCATCAATATTCAAGTAGAACCGCAACTGTTTTGATGCCAAATACTTAAAAAAGTGGAGTGATCACCTGCTATGCCCTATCTTCCACTAATGTTACAATTCACAATTAGATACAGTGCTGCAAAGTCTGTTGATGTAATGTACGTTTATGATGGTACATTTATGTCCCCTGACTTCTCAAACCTTCACTGACCATAATAGTCAATGAAGTATGGTCAAATAACCTCTCCGGCCCACACAGTGTGGCAATGCCCTCATCCAGCAGTTAATTGACAAGGGCTCTGTCGGTGTTAAAAAGAACGTGAAGGTGCAGCCCTGCTAATTCCTTACTCATGCCCTATGCACAGAAGGGCCTCTACCAGAGGGAGTTCTAGACAGCCCCTCGAGCAGGTATGTGGCCTACTCAGATTGTAAATGTTGTGGATTTGCTCTCCAACACACCGTTTTGTGCTGTACTAGTAACGAATCGGCGTGTTCTGGTTTCATGACAAACCCTTACTAATTGGCTGTGTTTGGGTGGTGGCGGCTTTAATGACATGCGATCTAACCACAAAAAACATCCCTTTATTATTGCCTACTCTTCCTCGCTACGCAGGAATCTTGGAAAAAAAAGTTGAGAGAGCGCAGTTGTATCTGTAGATTAATTAAAATCTTCTTGCGATGTTGTGAACAGGTCTTCAGGGCATGGGATGTAATCAAAGAAATGTATTCCGACATTCATAGGTGCAACGTGATGAAATATTGTGTGTGTGCGGGAGTAGATGGGCGACACTGGTTCGTCGGCACTACACCTCCTTGGGTACAATTTGTCTCGGGGGGGGGGGGGGTTTGCTTTTTTTTGCTCGTGACTCAGGCCAGCGCGACGGTGTGGACGATGCGCCCCAGCCACTCGGCACTCCTCCATCTGGCTGCTCGGCACATGCCTGAGCTGCTGGCGCTCCGCACGGTGTTGCTCGACAAGTTGATGGTGCCCTTCACAATCCATGTCGGTCACAGCCTCGACGCCTACCGCGCCCAGCCAGACCACGTGCTGTGCCAAGTGAAGGTACTTGCATGCAAGTTTGCCGTCTCTGTCAATCGTTGTCGTTGCCTCGTTTTGTGTATGGGCGTGCCTTCACGTGCGCTTGGGTTGCATTCTTGAAAGCCCGAATGTAAAGTGAAACATCGTATAGTGCAGTAAATCTTTTAATATTCGTGGGGAATGCATTCCTGAAAAATGGCGCGAACATTTAATCCTTGAATGGTAATACTCAAAGCTTATGAGGGCAATAGGGTTAAGGGACAAACGTATATTGTGTTTAAACATACAACCTCTGGTATATATCAATGGATACATATAGTGTATAGTACTATTGTGTTATTTAACTGAAATTTAATAATGATGAGGAACATAGGTTTAAGGGTAATAAACATTACTTTTATATATTAATACATTGTATTATATTCTTGGTTCTTTCGGTAAAGTCACGTATAAGGGAAATAATAAATATAATAAAATTGTATTGCTTTATTTTTATTTTATTCCTGAAAGAACCAAGAATATGAATCCCTGCAGTCACGAAAGCTTTAAATCGAAACATTGTATTGTTTTATTTAACTTGCCTTGATTAATGATGCACGCCAACATTACAAATGCAAATATGAATAGGTAAATGAATAGTATACAGTATATGCAAGCTTAACATTTAATGATGATGATTATAAAGGAAAGGATTCGCATGTAAATAGTGTGGCAGACGGAGAGAGAGAGAGCGTCGCGCGGATACTGCCCTGGTCCCAGCCTTTACGATGTCCCCATGCACCACGACTCCCTTGTTGGGTTAGTAGCATGGTACGGCCAAGCATATTTAAACGACAACCCCGCGAATTTCGAATAACACTGCACTATTTATTTCCAAATACGGAAAACCATGATCATAATGCCCGCGAATTACTAAGGGTTTGCTGTACACCGGAACATTTTCCCATAAGGTCCCATTATAGCCTAAGGATGCATACCTAAAAATATATATTTTCTGACCTAAAACCTACCAAACTTACACTTTTCAACACAACTAGGATGTGTTCATGCGTAAATATTGAGAATAACTGGACAGATAATTAAAAACAAATACTGCACGTTATTATTCACTCACCAGGAACTGGTGCACGTCGTGTGAGTTGATGCTGCGCCGAAGGCAGTGGAGGGGTCACTGGGAGGGTTAGGGGGGAAAAGGCATCGGGGAGCTTATTCCTCTCCCTGCGGGTCATCGAACGTACTAACGAATAAAACGAGATGTAAACCGTAAAAAAAAAAGTCTTAAATTATGACCAACATAATAGCGAATCGTCGTAAATCGAATTGACGTTTATCGGGGTGGTACATGTGTTCGGTGAAAGTTGGCCTGGATGTTGTGCTCAATTATCTTGAAGTAAGTGTATGTTTTGGAGGCCTTTTTCAATACAGGTATGATGAAGGGTTGTGCTTAGAAGGCCCATGACGTGTTTCGCCCGTGCCTGCATGAAATAGTTGCCAGATATCCGTGCTTGAACCACAAATGCGGGGAGTGGGTTATGTGAGTGTTCTTTGCGAGTACATGGTCAATTAAAAATGTTGACATATCCATGTAAATTTCCCACACTCTTCCTACACCACTTCCACCATTCCCTCATCACCTCGTCTTTACTGTGATGCAAATCACATGCGCTTCCCTCTGTATTTAGCTAAATGTAATTAAATGCGTAATTTTTGACTGCTAGGACAATTGGGATTGGGGCAGGGCACGTGGTTAGAAGGGAATGGCTGACCGGTGGTGAAGAATAATGATGCGGTGGCAGCCCAAGGGGAGGCGAATGCACCCAAGCCAAGGGGATATACAATGTGGAGATGGAGCGACGAAATTGGGTCGTGTGCAAGTGTCCAGTGGATTGTACAATGGGAGCATGACAGATTGCGATGATTTTTGGAAGCCTTCATCCAGCAGTGGATTGATCATGGTTGACATTGATCTAGACATCTGCACGTGCGTCTTAAGTACGTTTGAGTCGAAACTTTGTTCCATGTACGTTCCAAAGATCACATTAATGATTGTGGTTAGGGATGGGTTTTGTGCACTTTACAGCTACAGTATTAGCAGGCAATGATAATTTTGAGGACTTTCTGTATTTTGCTAGTGATGAGGATAACACATAGATTAATGAGAGGGAGATCAAGAGATGTATTCAGTTGTGGCTTCTCTTTGATGTATTACATAAACCACTTTGAAAGGGTAGAGAGAGATCAACTTTAGCATTACGTAAGTGACGGGTGTTTGAGGCAGGATTAATTTCTGTGTTACTCTATAGGTCATAGAGGTTGGACTTTTGTTAAACAACTAAAAAATGAGTGTCTAGCCTTTGAATTAATCCTTTTATTATAATTTTATCATAGTTTCTCATTTGATCTGTATTGCGAGTGTAGTCATTATAATCAGCCTTTACTGCATTTCTATTGGATTTTATCCATGTTTGGGAGTGTATAGTTTTTTTCATTTACAGTGCTTTGAGACATTTTCTTAATCAGATTGAGAATCGTTATTTTGACTGGAGGAATCTGACGAGCTATGAAGCTCTTTTTCACAGATGTCCAGTAGGGGTGGAAATGTGCATTATATATCAAAAAAATTGGTTTATGGATGGTGGTAGGAGGGATAGGACAAGTAACTTGGAAGTTGGAAATCTAAGGTGGCCAGAAAGTAGCTGACATGTAATTATGAAGAGGAGGGTGCTATATAGGGCAATTAAATTCAAGATTGATGGGTTCATAGTGCAGTGTGAAAACCACTGTGCCACCACTCCACCTCATTAGTCGGTGTAGTATAGTTGTGTAGTTTAGTGTGCTTTTGTTTTCCCGTATCATGGACAATGTGTGTAGGCGTGAGAATAAGACGACGTGCTGTTATGTTTGTGGGGATGGATCGCGAAGCTTAGGGGAATCCCACGTGTGAAAGGAAGACCAAAGAGAGCCGGCACTAATTTGTGAAACCATACGGTTCGTGGAGGAAACCTCAGTGACGATGTCGCTCGGCTTTAGGTTGTGGCCAAGTGAAGAATCACTCTTGGGTTTTTTCGGTAAAGTCACGTATAAATAAGAAATAATAAAATAATATAATAGCGTACGACGTTTCGGTTGCAACACAAGCAGCCATCATCAGGTACAGAAGAGCTAAATTTACGAGAGAGGGAAAACACATAACCCCAGATGTATATACAGACACCCAAGTAGGGGGAACTAACACAGACACAACAGGGGACACAGAGAGACAAGTATGTGTCTGTGTTAGTTCCCCCTACTTGGGTGTCTGTATATACATCTGGGGTTATGTGTTTCCCCTCTCTCGTAAATTTAGCTCTTCTGTACCCGATGATGGCTGCTTGTGTTGCAACCGAAACGTCGTACGCTATTATATTATTTTATTATTTCTTTATTTATACGTGACTTTACCGAAAAAAACCAAAGAGTAATTCCTGCAGTCACGAAAGCTTCGAACCAAGTCTTCAAGTGAAGAATCCTATGACGAAGTTGTTTCATGAATAATGAAAGTAATTGCGTTAAATAAAAATGATAGGTAGACATTGTGAAAAGATTGTCTGAAACTGGAAATCTCGTGGAAATCAGCATGTAAAAAAGTTATAAGAAATTGTTATGTTAATATTACATAATTGATATTTGGCCATTCTATGCAAAAGTGGGTCGTAATGTGGCAATCTTTTAGTCATACGATGGGAAACACATTACCGATACAAATAGTTCCTACTGGGTAAAAACAGCTGGTCAGCTGGATTGCATTGTGCACGTACAAATATGTGGTGGCTCGCTCGCATGCATGCATGCATGCTCTGCGCCTGGTGCAAAGGTGCAGCGATTGCTCATGCTGGCCCACACACTGTTGCGTGCGCATGCATGCAGGCACGCACGTAGGTGCACTTAAAAAGCCTTGCTTCAATTACTCTCACGCACGCTCGCACACACACGCACGCACATCAGATTGCCTTAAGTTAACTTTACATGAAGCCATGCATAATGGAATAGCTGCTATTCGAGCTAAACATTTTATGTAACCAATAAGGTGCCCTTTTACCCTTGTTATAATGTTCACATCTGTATGGATGAGATGTAAACCTTACATTTCTAAACTGGTGTGAGGCTATATTCTTTGCTCTTTCGGTAAAGTCACGTTGAAGGGAAACAATAAAATAACAAAATATATATAAAACAATAAAAATTCTCATGACGTTTCGACCATAACACAAACGGTCGTCATCAGGTGTGTCGGTTTGCATAAATTTATTTATTTTTTAACGGTGTATTTATTTATTTTTAAAAACGTCAGCGCCACGCGCAGCGATTTGGCAGTTTATTTAGGACTAGTCCATCTATGTTCTGAAAAGAGGAGGGGGGAGACAAAAAAATTAATGTATGCTGTCTGAAAGCCACTGTAAGCGTGAACAATCAATTAAGACCTGAAATGGTTTATCAAATCTTTCCAATGATTGCTAAGCCAGAATCCATCTTCTCGGTTGAAATTGTCTCTGTGCTTGTATATGTGGATAGCCTCATGAACGAATCTCTCATGGTAGCCAGATGGTTTACAAAGAACCTCTGTCTTGGAAAAGTCAATGTCATGTGAGCCTACTGAATTATAACAATGATCTGCCACGGCCGAGGTGTTGGTCCTACCGTGTTTAAGGTCTGCTTTGTGTTCACGAATGCGGTCCGAGACATGGCGTTTGGTTTCTCCAATGTAACTACTACCACAGAGGCAACTTAGTTTGTAGACACCAGGGTACTGTATGTCCGGAATCACATCTTTTACAGACGGAACCAGATCACGGATTTTATGTAATGTGTTGAAACGGACCTGGATCTTGTGTTTATTCAAGATTTTGGAGATCTTTTTTGTGATCCCCGCAATGTAGGGTAAAGTGATGGTTTTGAAAGGCTCCTCAAGAGGGTCCTTCTTCATGGTTTGAGTGATAGCTTTGCGGATTGTATAGTCGGAGTAACCATTAGCCTTAAGAGCTTGGTGTACGTGCTTGAGTTCACTGCCTATGTGTTCCTGGTCGGATATGCATTGGGCTCTATGATATAGAGTCTTGATGAGATAATTCTTCTGTGATGGATGGTGGTGGGAATTTGGTTTCAGATAAGCATCCGTATGGGTAGCTTTCCTGTAGACAGTGGCTCATTGAACCATCAGGTCTCTTTTTAATTAGGACATCCAAAAAAGGTAGGCTATCCAGAGCAGTTTTGCGTGAGGATTTATGAAAATAAAAGGTGAAGGTGCAGCCTTGTATTTACTTGCTCATGCCACTTGTCCGTGGATGGGCCTCGATTAAGAGGGAGATCTGGAGAGCCCTTCTGCAGTCTACATTTACCTACTCTTACAAATGTACCCTCTTTAGGTTATATCGGTAAGCTGCCATAATAAAACGAAGAGCCAATTGCGTCCTCGAGTTTGTGTTGACCAACCCTCGCTGAGCAGCATTGTGGGGATACCCACACTTTAACCCCACCAGCATGCGCGACCTGCCGAGCGACTGACTGGTGTACCCCATTTCTACAGCTGGGTGGGCAGAGAAGTTGGGGGGGGGGCTATTTAAGAAACATGTCCCATTGTTTGAACTGCCATGCCAGGAGATCAAACCAGCAACCTCTGGAATGCAAAGTCCAGTGTGGTAACAATTACACCACAGCAGCAACCATTGAAAATGAAAGAAATTGATAAATGGCGCCGCAGGAGCGAACACCACTCCCATGTACCAGAAAATGCACACGTGTTCCATAATCGAGCTGTCTTTTTCAAGGCTATTGTGGACAACTCGTGACTAAACATGGCCATTGTAGTGCTGCTGCATTTAGTAATTGCTATGCACTCAGGAGCAATATCAATAATACAAACTATGGCAAATGGGACAGAAATGATGTAATCATAAAAAGCATAACTGTGCTATATTTAGAAATTTTGCAACACAGTGCTTTGGAGGATAATTTACAGGCCTTTGTCAATTCACTCCTGGATGAAGTCCTCGCCACGCCGTGTCCGTCGTGGGCATTATTTGACCATACTTTACTACGCTGGTCAAGGACAGTTGGCGAAGGCGACTTTGGGATGTGAACATTTTCTTAATTTTATTGTTACAGCTTACCCACATTTGGACCATCAGTTGGCACTTAATCATTTTCAGGGGCCACATGAGGAGTGTTTTGGTCGACGTATGGCTGCCGCGTGATTAAAGGCTACCCCACTTCCCTACAGTGCTTCCAGCCATACGCATTAACGGCATGGCTTGAGATTTAAGTGGCAGACCAGTGACACATTTTCTAATTACAACACGGGCCATAAGATTGTGCACATGGTAATAGCGCCTCGGAATGTACCGCCAAAGCCTCCTGGGAATGGGTGTCGCGCAAGCAGCCTGCAACTGGTGCCCGTGGCGCACACACATGCTTTGCGAACATCGTTTGAGTGGCATTTGCTCTAAAGCCTCTCATTCGGCCCAATTTTTGGACAAAGAATCACTCTCGTCCTTTGCTTTTGGTCATCATTAGGTTTGCTATGGCTTATGTATGCATTGCAGAGTTTGACATTTTATGAGTAGAATATTTATGATATTCATAAGCATCTGCATTGGTTTTTACAAGCAACCCGTGCTTGTAAGTTACATTCTCGACTGTCATATTGCACTACCACTTTGATTTGTTGCGTCTATTCAGTTATAAAACCTCCCCTCCACATTCTCCTTTCCACTTCTATTACCCTCCTGCCTCTTTATATGTAAAAAATGTTAGGCTTCTAAGCTATTGCGCATTTAGACAATTGCTATTTTTTTATCATACAATGCATGTGCTGCATACATGACGTCGAAATTTTTTTAAAGAAGCACATCACAATGAGGCTAGTTTATCATGTAGAAATACACATCTACATGATGGTTGTTGTTCGTAGCCCAAAGCCAGTATAGAGGCATGAGGCTATGTTGCTCTGTGTGCGTCTTTATTTTCGGTTTGTCCCGTGACCGAGTGAATGGTTATTGCCATGGTCAAGTGCCGTCATGCCTCCTACGCCAGGCACATGGTTATTGCCGGGGAGATCTCCGCATGGCCAAATGGAATCCAATGATTTGGAGACATGGGTTGGTGAATCACTGACAGGTGTGAAACTTTCAAACCCACTGGGCTGTCAAGTGGCCAGTGGATGTTGGTTTGTAATTCCGTCTGGACCCATGAATGATATACACCTGGCTAAAAGAAAACTAAAATTTTCTCCAGTTGCATTGGTTTCTCCCCCTGCATGCAAAACATTCCTTAAAATGGAATTGACAAAATATCCAAATGCAGGACCCTCTTGAAAAAAGATTATTGAGACTCTTTACGCCTTCCTGGATTAATGAATGGTATCATTATCTTTATTATTTTGAAATAGCTTAATTTCAGCATCTTAATTTGGAATCCAACTTGTTAATGTGACTGAAAGGTTTCAGCACTTCACTATTCAAAGCTCACATTCTAGCCCCTCCCCGCCACACTTTGTGCCATGTCCTGACACGTTGCTTTCACCACGATGTCACGGGATCAGGAAATTCCATACTCTACTCTGTAGCTAGCAGCGTATCACCATGTGTCAGACATGAACCCTGGTTTAATCGTGGATTTGAACGTAGATCAGCGGATGCTGGCTCAATGCATCAGGCATGAGCTGCCTGGCCACCTTGTATAGTGGGACCTTCACATGTAACATAAACGCTACCTCCTGTGCTGTGGATTTCATCGTATGTCCAAATGAAAGAATGTGTCCTCAGGGGTGTTGACAGAATGAGAGGTGGGGAGTCCAAAGCCATGCATTATGGGTGGTGGCAACCTTAAGAGGATTTTTTTTTTACATCAGGGAGATTGACTGCGTTTGATCGATTGATTGGTATTTGAACAAGACAGCTAAATCATAGGAGAAATTAAATGATTGAAGGATATTTTATTGCATCCAGAGGAAATGTGCTTATATGAAGTGCATTTTTGGGGAAGTAGTTATTATTGATATGAGTTGAGACAAAACATTAATTTAATTAGTGATCCTGTAGCATCATTTCAGGACTAGGCCATGTACTGGTGTTAAAGCCAAATTACGTGCTACCATTTTATAACTGATATTTAATTGTAACCAGCATTCTTTTAGAAAATTCACACTGTCAAATATTTAACAGTATATTTTTCGGGTTAATCCACTACTACCTGAATTCCTCTCCCGTGCCATATCAGTCATGGGTTTTGTTTGACCATACTTCACCACGCTGAGCAGTACGGATGGGTGGGGTGGTGGAGAGTGGTATACGTTTAGATATCTCTCGTCACTTATGTTGCCATGGCTGAGAATCGATCCCATGGATCAAAATACACGTATGGCCCTTTTATATTGTAGGATGGTCTCATATGAATTCCAATGTGTTCATAATGATGATTCTATGTTGTGATTTTATTTAGTGTTGAATTGTCACTGCCGGTAGGCATCTAATTTCCTCTTGCTTCCAGCACCCAATTTTGCTGAAGTCAAAATATGACTTGTCCCATTTTCTCATTCAACACGTGAGGCCCTGCCTGTAATAATAATCAAGAGCACCGTGCGATTTGGATTTAATTGATGGACCTGCGTGTTAATGAGTCTGTCTGTTTGCTTTTCCCCCTCCTTTAGCGTGACAGCCTGGAGCTGCCCCAGTATCTGCTGTCCCATCTGCCTGATGAAAACTGGGCCAAGAATGGGAAGTGATAAGCACATGAATTGGTTGGACTGAGCAGTCTGCAACTTTGTAAACAAGCTGCACTGTGCCGTCCGCCCTGTACGAGTCATCAAAAAGAAGGACTGAAGATAAATGTTTCTCGGCCAGGGTTGTACTGGATGATTTATACTGATACTGTAAACGCATATACATCACTTAAACAATCGCATAGGACTGCCATCTTGCAACTGACAGTTAAAACCCAAAATAACCATGAACCTTGTTGTGGAGAATATCAAAAACTAAATACATGAGCAAACTATACATTATCTTCGTATATATGTCTACTAGCTTTACTACCCGGCTTCGCCCGGGACTTGGATTCAGCACACCCGGCCGCCTTTATCTCCCCAGTGGCGATGTTCACACACCACAGCAGTTACTCGTTTGAGGCTGAGTCGACCTAGGGGAGGCCCAGGACCGGTTAAAATAATCGTCACCGGTGGTGGCCGTGAGCGGGAATCCACCTCGGGTCAACGGGTTCGTAGCGCAGCGCACTAACCACTACACCACAATGCGTTACGCTTCCACATGCGCGGGTCACGTGACAGATTTGACGTCACAGCTCACTTGCTGTGCAAAAAATAAATGCATTATTGAGCTCCACCCCCCAAAAAAAACAAGTGTATTTTTATAATTTTTGCATGGTGGACAGTCTGGAAAGTATTCACATGGCAAATTTGCAGTTTGTTGCATGTCGGGAAGTACGCTAAACATTTTGAACAGACACACACATTCACAACTTTGCCTTTTATATATATGGAGATGTAAAATAATGCACGCAGTCATCGATTACGAACACCCACGCTTACGGACCAGTGTCCATGAAAAAATGTTTTTCCACCAACTTAAAACGCGAACTCGAACTTTCAAACTGAACCGCAGAACTATTTTATTCAGTGGAGCGCGATCCTCAACGATTGTAATGAGTCAGCCTCGTGCTGGGAGTGTGGATGTGTGTACATGTTTGTGCGCCCGCACGTGTGTGTGTGTGTGAAAGTGAGTGTATGTGAGAGTGGGGAGTGGTGCCCGCTAACAACACTTGCCCCAACAGTCTATTAAGGCTTTACAGGGGATCTTTGTATGTGAAAGTGGGGAGCGGTAGTGTAGGAGGTCGCACGCTGCACCACAAACTCGGCGACCAGGGTTTGATTCCTGCTCACGGCCAACACCAGTGACGATTATCTGAACCGGTCCTGAACCTTGGATGTGTTTTCTATTCGTGTGATTTCATTTTATTTTTTTCATGCAAATGTGGTTGAACAATGCTTCCCTTTTTTGTTGAACTAACACATTTCACAACACAGACTGGGCATTTAAATTTAGTAGAGGTAATCCTCGGGTTACAAACCTAATTCGTTCCTGAGACCCGTTCGTAAGTCAAACGAGTTCGTAATCGAACGGTGCGTAAGTCGGAAACACAATTGCACTTTTTAAATGCCCATACGGCCAGTGTCATGAAATGTGTTACAGTTCAGCAAAAAGGTAAGCATTGTTGAACTCATAATTACGAAGAAATTTTGCACATTTGTATGTAACACTAAAAAAAACACTAAATAAAATAAAGTAACATAAAACTATTTTCACATACCTTGAGTCCCGAGGCTAGCTTTTAGTCGGAAGGGGGGCAATGTGTGCACACAGGCACGCGCGTACACACAGACACAAAGAAAACCTGTATAGCCTTAACAGACTGTTGGGGCAAGTACTGTTATCGAGCAGCGCCTATGAAGGTCGGCACGGCACACGCACGATTGTGCACACAAACGCAAACACTGACTCCTAGCGCGAGGCCGACTCATTATGCCTCACGGAAGATCATTCATCTCAACGAAATAGTTCCGTGGTTCAGTTTGCAATTGCGAGTTCGCATTTTAAGTCAATGTGAAAAAAATATAAATTTCATGGAAGCTGGTTCGTAAGTCGGGCGTTCGTAAGTCGATGACTGCCTTACATTGTTGTGTTCCGACTTACAAACCGTGCGACTTATGAGCGGGGCCCAGGAATGTTCGGAAGTCGATGACTGTCCGTGAAATGATTTCTTACACCGATCAGCTGCACAGGTTTCTGTTCGTGCATCATGTTATCAGTTTCAAGGCGAGCAGTCTGAACCAGTTTCGACATAACGTGTCTATTCAGCAGCATTTTGCTTGCTTGAATCATTGCTGGTAAACTGATCTTGCAAAGCAACAATCCTGTGGTATGGGTCCTTATACGTATTACGCAATGTTGCCTCTAATTAGGACTCAAACAACACAGAAAAGTATAAAGAACACAGCCTCTATGAATATACAAACAACTCTCAGCAGTTTCTGAAGAAGTGCATCGGCGGTCCTCTTGTCTTCAATCACCAAAATAGATTTGAGCAAATGTGACCGTGTGACAGGCAGCAATGATAGATAGACATTTGTGGATCGAGCGGCTAAAGTACAAGTTGGCACAGTGGGGAGCACAGGTTAAACATCTGCCATTCTTCCCAGTCGGTCAACCCTGAACACCTGAGTCTGTCCAATCAGCAAGGCTTCGACACTTCAAATGGCCTCAAAGTACACCTACCCTGCAACAAGCATCGTGTTGATGTCATTACCACTTAGTGGCGAATGCTAGTTATTGTGTTGTGTCTAAGTATGTATGTTGAACTACTTTCGCACCGTACGTAGCCAACCGTGTATGTGTCTATCCGTCTCTTGCTTACACGGAGATACAAAGAGAGACATGTCTTTGAAATGCCATTGCAATTTAACTCCTAAAAGTATAGAATAGACAAAACCGTGCACTAAAATATGTAAGTCGAATGTTTTTTCATCTCAAATGTCAAGGTATTCACATTTTTTGGAGGTGGCATTAGCCAGAATTGTTTGCCAGATTGTGATGTCAAAATTATTTATTATTAAATGGTTCCTTTACCATTTAGTTTCAGATTAGCTCATGAAACACAACATCAGATTGTGATGGGATTGAGCGAAGAACAAAGTGTGTTTCCTTGATTGTATTCCAATTGTGCTATCAGTGTGATGCCATGCTATTAAAACGTTTGTGTTTGGGAAACCTAAGGAGAGAAAATACTTCAACCAAATTTTTTTTCTCAAGATGTATCAGATCTGGCCCAGTTTAACTGTTAGATATCCATCTTGGTTTCTGTCAAATATTTATATTTTTTATAGGTGTAACCCCACCTCTCGGATTGTTATCGTAGGTTTTTGTAGCCACTAAACAATACATGTTTTTTGGGTTCGGCCACGTGGTAGTTTTATGCCAAAATTATTGGCAATAACCCTCCACAAACGGACAAGATTTTCACATTTGCAAATACATGTATGCATGCTAATGTATCATCAAATTCTGACCAATAAAGTTAATTTGTGGCTTCAGACTTTTCACGAATTAATTGACCATCAACATACACAGAAATCCTTACCATTAGGACGTTTTAACATCAAACCTTGATTAAGATGTGGCACATGTTAATTTTATCATGCTAGACATCAGGGTCAGCCAACTGTATAAATCAATATATTGCTTTTTTTCATTCGTTTGAATAATTAAATAAAAATGTATATGTGAAGTACTCGTAAACATTTTGTGAGCAGAGTACCATGCGTAATGTTGGCTTAAAATGTTTACAGAAATACAGTACAGGTTTGTCACGCTTAATACACATGCATACGTTCTGCGAACTTTGTTCGGTAAGCAGTTAAGCGATCATCGTTTCTCCATTGACTCCCGTGGTAAAAGCTGATGTAATTTTCATCCCCAAAATCTTCCACTCCTGAACAACTTTTTTGTAAACATGAGAAATACACATGTTATAAAGCAACAAAACATCAAATTCAACGCCACACATGAAGAACCACAGTGTTTTCAGGGGCCCTGTATTTATATGATTTTCAGGGTTAAGACGTTAGTGTGTTGAGGGAGCAGCATAGGCCATGCAGGGACCGCTGGTTCAAATATCACTGGCCACTCCTGTCTTGAGTGGGCAGCTCTGAGCGGACCGCTCTGTACCCCTACTGAGATATAAAAACAACCCTCAAAAATCAAGTGCACCACTCGCCATTAAAAAAAAGCTTTATTTTTCTTTTTGACCTTGGGAGACTCGAAGGGAGCCTCAGACCACCCGTTTTATTTTCTTTCCATCCGGAAGCCCCGGAGGCGGTTTGCAAAAGCCCCCGTCGGCCCAAGGCCGTCGACTCGAACATGACCTCGTGGCTAGGCCAAGGAGAATTGTCCCCTCCGTATCTCCCGGCGGTCGAGGTGCCCCCGGGTATAAAGCCAAAGGCTTCGTCTCCGCCGGCCTCTCCGATCAAGTCGAGATCGGCTACCCGAGTGGGAAGAACACGTGGGGTTCTCGCAGTGTCGGATTAAGCTAGTGCGAGGCCTGTAGCATATGTTATAAAGGGGCCCTAAATTTAAAAAAAACATTTGTTTTAATTTGAACAGTAAAGTCATTGTTTTTTTTTTCATTTACTATACAGCCAGATAATACGACAAATCGCTAACCTTAAACACCCAATCGTTTATAAAAATTGAAGGCAGCATAGTACTCTAGTGATAGAGCAAGTGCAGAATCACTGAACCGGAATTGATAGCTTGAAATAATTTAGCGCGGGGCCCTTGAAAGTGCGGAGCCCGTAGCTACTACTACATGTGTAGCTACTTGTGCTACTGGGATAATCCGGCACTGGGTCCTCGACGGAAAGGTTGAATGAGGTTTGCGGGGAGGCAAGAGGCAGCCATTCCATCTGGACTAACGCTCGAAAAGCAGAACAATGCGACGAAGATCTACGATGTTGGAGCCTGCAAGAGGCGCACGACAAAACGTTGACGCCCGGTGTCGGGAATGCCCCGAGATTCCCGGACTCCCCACTCCCATAGTCCCCCCCCCCCATATAAGCCTTAAAGTTGCCGCACTTGCTCCTCATTTGGGTGGGAGCCATAAGCTCAAAATCCCACCCCCGATGTGTATAGGTCTTCTCGCGACGAGATCGGGTTGCTGTTGCAGTTTTTTTTGTGTACACCCTCCGTTGTGCGATCGGCTTATTGTACCGGGCTCGCGTTGAGTAGCAATGTAAACATTTCAAATATATGTATCGCTCGCCACTGATATTATCCGTGGCTGGGAATCGTACGATGGCATGCTGGGTTCATAGCCACGAGCTCGACTTCCTTTAGTCAGCGTCTGCAATTCGCGCCGCCACCCACTAGGGCTGAACTTTCTGGTTGAAAATATCTAATCAAGTATTACAGCTTTCGTGACTGCATAAAATTACTCATTGTTTTTTTCGGTAAAGTCACGTATGTAGAAATACAATAAGATTATATTAAAACAAAAAACAATCACGACGTTTCGATCACAACGCAAGCGATCTT